TCAAACAAGCCCCTGACCCAACCCTGTCATCTTAACTGTTCTTATGATAATGTAAATACCTCTCACCCGACCCTGACATTGTAACTAAACTTGTGGTCAACTGATCTTACTCTGCAACACCCCCACCCCCCAAAAAACTACCCAAACCTATAAAACCAACTCCTATTCCACTGCCCTTTGTTAATGCCCTTTTCGGCCTTAGCCCACCTGCACCCAGGTGAATAAACAGTCATGTTGCTCACACAAAGCCTGTTTGGAAGGTCTTTTCATTCAAAGCTCAAGTTTTTTCAACAATACCCAGGCTGCTGGTCTGGGAACCACATTTTGAGAACCACTGGGTTAAATCACAAACTAGGTAATGAGGGTAAAAAGGGAGGAGGAGGGATGAAGTCAAAGTAGATATGAAATAGTAATATCAGAGAGTAGTAGGATTGTCACACTGTGCTATAAGGCTATGGGAAGTTTGAGATAATTTTTAAATTAAATCCGTTTTTCTGATGGCATGACTTTTTCATCTATGTTGGCACATGTGTAGACAGAAAGAATTATCTAGTTCATCAAGATTTGCAGTTTATTTGGGGTTTTGGCTTTTGTTTTGTGTGTTTTCTTTTTTGTATTTAAGTTTTAAAGAAATGTCTCTGACAAGGAGGATTTGGGGTTTTGCAAGATAGCACTATAAAGTAAGGAAGAGAAATGGAGATTTGGCATTTTTATTTTTATTTTTTAAGATAGGGTCTCATTCTGTCACCCAGGCTGGAGCACAGTGGTACAATCTCAGCTCACTGAAATCTCCATCCCCTGCCAGATTTGGTATCTTTTTTTTTTTTTTTTTTTTTTGAGATGGAGTCTCGCTCTGTCACCCACATTGGAGTGCAGTGGCACTATCTCAGCTCACTGCAACCTCTACCTCCTGGGTTCAAGCAATTCTCTGTCTCAGCCTGTCAAGTAGCTGGGATTATAGGCGCCTGCCACCATGCCCAGCTAATTTTTATATTTTTATTAGAGATGGGGTTTCACCATGTTGGCCAGGCTGGTTTTGAACTTCTGGCCTCGTGATCCACCTGCCTGGGCCTCCCAAAGTGCTGGGATTATAGGCATAAGCCACTGTGCCTGGCCAGTCTTTTTTTTTTTTTTTTTTTTAATTAACGGTTTATTCAATCATCTTTGGCTAGAGATTTGGTATCTTTTTTTTTTTTTTTTAAGTTGTCTTGACTTTTTTTAGAGAGTGTTGCTCTGTTGTCCCGGCTAGAGTGCAGTGGCACAATCATAGCCCACTGCAGCCTTGAACTCCTCCTGGGCTTAAGGGAACCTCCCACTTCAACCTCCTGAGTAACTGGGATTACAGAGAGCCACAGTGTTGGGTGGAACTGAGTATCTTTTTAAGGATGTGATTATAATGTTGGACCATGGACTCTAAGTTGGGTAAGAAAGAAAGAACAGACTTGAGTTGTAAACCAATGTGGTCTAAATGTAATTAAAGAATTGTAGGTGGGAGTACTTGGGCACAAAATCTAGGGCAGAATGTTGTAGTCATAGAGCAGGATGCTTGTGTACAAGATTTTTGAGCTGATGCAATTTTTGATAACAAGGTCTAGATGAGTCCAAAGAAATGAGTGGTTCAGGAACACATAAAATGGCAATGCTTACATTCTATGTCTTCGAGAAGAAAAAAAAAATTAGAAAATTATTTTCTTATTCAGCAAGATTTCTTTTTCTTTTGCTTTTTTTTTTAGACAGAGTCTTGCTGTGTTGCCCAGACTGGAGCATAGTAGTGCAATCATAGCTCATTGTAGCCTCAAACTCCTGCAATCCTCCCATCTCAGCCTCCTGTGGAGCTAGAACTACAGATGCAAGCCACCATGCCCTGCTTTTTTTTTTTTTTTTTTTTAGAGACAGAGTCTCACTATGTTGCCCAGGCTAGCCTTGAACTCATGTCCTCAAGTGATCTTCCCACCTCGGCCTTCCAAAGTACTGGGATTATAGGTGTGAGCCATTGCACCCAGCTATTCATCAATATTTTTCAAATTGCAGTTTATGATCCATTAGTGAGTAATGCAATTAATGTATGAATTATGACCAGCATTTTTTAAAGGAAATAGAAGAATAAGGTGCATGAGGTAAAGTTAAGTATTGTTTCACATATATGTAGATAAGCATATACTGAATTATGATAAAAATTTTTGAAAGTTACTACCCTTTAACAATTATGAAATCAATTAATGAGATCTCTTTAAAATCCAAATGCTTTATAACCAATGTTACCATGTCTCCTTCCATGCTATGGAGATTAACTGAATTTTTCTTGATGAGCAAAAATGCTTCTTCACAGACCTAATCCCTTTGTGAAAACTGCTTACCTGTCTGTCATGCCTTACTCTGATTAACTAGGCACATTCTAAATGTTTAACTAAGTGAACTTTTAGTATGTCATTATGGAATTTATTGGGTTGTTTTAAAATTTACATTAAAAATGATCTGGGTCAGGCATGGTGGTGCATGGCTATAATCCCAACACTTTGGGAGGCCGAGGTGAGTGGATCACCTGAGGTCAAGTTTGAGACCAGCCTGGCTGATGTGGCAAAACCCTGACTCTACTGAAAATAAAAAAATAAAAAAATTAGTTAGACATGGTGGCGCACACCTGTAATCTCGGCTACTTGGGAGGCTGAGGCACGAGAATCACTTTAACCTGGGAGTTGTAAGTTGCAGTGAGCCCAGATCGCATCACTGCACTCCAGCCTGGGTGATAAAGTGAGACTGTATCAAAAAAAAAACCCAAAAAACAAAAAATGATCTGAAAACTTTTATGAAATCTTGTTCTATCAAAGTTTCAAAAGAAAGGATATCTTCTGTGTAATTATTAAACTATCTGGATACAGGTTCACCAAATGTAAGAAATGAAAACTTCAGAGAATAAGGCAAGAATTGGCTGGGCATGTTGGCTCATGCCTGAAATCCCAGCGCTTTGGAAGACTGAGGCAGGTGGATCACCTGAGGTTGGGAGTTTGAGACCAGATTGACCAACATGGTGAAATCCTGTCTCTACTAAAAATGCAAAATTAGCCGGGCGTAGTGGCACATGCCTGTAATCCCAGCTACTCAGAAGGCTGAGGCAAGAGAATAGTTTGAACCCTGGAGGTGGAGGTTGCGGCGAGCCAAGATCTGCCATTGCACTCCAGCCTGGGCAACAAGAGTGAAACTCCATCTCAAAAAATAATAATAATAAAGAGAGAATAAGGCAAGAACCATTAGTTTCATTAATGTGTCATCTGCAATCCATTTTTAGTCACAGTTAATATAATTTTACCTTTTGTCAGACAGAATGAAAATATTTTCAGTAAAGTAGGGAGAAGGATTAGCTGACTAATAGCTAGATATAAAACATCAAGCTAGACATTTCACCCACATCAGTTATTCCTACATGTCAGAAAGCTATAACACTTAGCATGAATAACTTCTGATTTTGACTTTGATTTGGAAGTGATTATTTCTGAAAAATCAGAATTGCAAATATATTTTAAAGCCGTCACATCAGAGAATATTTGATATACCTCAAATAAAAGCTTATCATTAACACTTGTCATTTTAAGAAAATCTCTAGGAGTGACTAACATGATAATAACATAGCAAGCTGCTTTCTTTCATCATTTCTCTTAAAATGCTTGAAAGATCCTGATACAGAAAGTTTTAAAGTTTGGCAGATGTAATAAGCATAGCAAATATCAGAAGAGAGCCAATACTCGTGGCAGTTTGGAGAACTCGGCTTATAAATGTCATTGTGTTGAGAACACTGCTGAAGTGCAATATGACCAGAAATTCCTTAATATTTGCAGTATCATTTTGGGGGACTCTGTGTCCAAGTCAAATTAATCTTGTTAGGACTCTCAAATATAATCCAAGAATGATGATTTTCTTTTTATGTACATAAACAGATATTTTGAAGTGCTTTCCATTTTATCTTCAAGCAATTCATATCCTGAGAAGAAATGGATATTTGTTTCCATACATACCAATTTGATATTTTCTTGTTTGTTTTAGGTATCAAAGTACAGCTTTTATATATTTATATAGAATTAAAATCTTTGCCTATTTTATGGCTAAGGCATATAAAAATTATATACATTAAATGCCTTTTAAACAATGTTGAAAATAATCAGGGGCTCATTTAGTTTTAATTTTTAAGTTTAGTCATATAAGTAACACATTCCACTTCATTAAAGCTATTTATGTTCATGAATACATATCTGAATTTCTATGTATACTAACTTTTTCAACGTTATAAATTGTAAAGCAGAAATACAGGCTCTCCTAAAACTTCATAAACTGAGCTTTGTAAACAAAGCATGGGGTCTCGCTTGCTTTAGGCTAACAATAAATGTTCTACAAACACACACAAAACCCCCACAAAACTTGAATTCATGAATGTTCTGACTGTTCTTTCCTGCAGCTCACATTGGCTAGCATCATCTTTATCCTCCAAATATTTATCTGGGTAGGTCAATCTTGCTTCCTCAATCTATTTCAAAAATAGCCACAGCTGAAAACATGCTTGGTGGAAGATTTTGAATTATAAAAATGTAACTGCATTCTAATGACCTTCGATAGTTCAGTATTATTATTTACACAAATTATTTTAGTTTGTTTTAGTATCTGGGGAAAGGATTGAAGCAGGAGATGATGTTAAATCATTATGGAAACTATCAGAATAGTCATTATCAGAATCAGTGGGCCAGGCAAGGTGGCTCATACTTGTAATCCCAGCACTTTGGGAGGCCAAGGCGGGTGGATTACCTGAGGTCAGGAGTTCAAGACCAGCCTGAACAACATGGTGAAACCCCGTCTTTACTAAATACAAAAAATCAGCTGGATGTGGTAGTGGGCACCTGAGCTACTCTGGAGGCTAAGGCAGGAGAATCGCTTGAACTCAGGAGGTGGAGGTTGCAGTGAGCTGAGATCACGCCATTGCATTCCAGCCTGGGCAACAAGAGCAAAACTCTGTCTCAAAAAAAAAAAAAAAAAAAAAAAGAATTAGTGTATTAGCATAGATAGCCTATCAGTACTGAGCATGTTCATTTCCTATGCTTTAGATAAGTATTGATTTCTTTAAATTTCATAATGGGGCCCAGTCATAGGAGAATTCTTAGCATTTCCTTCACCTATAGTGCTTGCAGGACTTAATTATATATGGATCCTTGTTACCTATATATTAAAGACTATTTTTTATATATTCACAGATACTCAGAAATCACTTTAACTTATAATTTAAACACTGTGAATTTTCCATGTAACTACAAAGATAAAAACATAGATACATATGAAGAATAATTACAGATCACTATTGACTTTGGAGCCTGAAAATATATATAGTTACACACACATGACAGAGACATAAACCTTCTGCCAATTTACAATGTAATTGCTATTTGATTAACTTGTTGGGGACAAGAAATTAGAGCAGAAATATAAGGAGTTAGAAAGGTGGATTCTAGTTCTAGCTGGGTAATCTTAGAAAAGACACTTAAACTCTCTGGGTTTCAATTTCTTCAACTAGAAAATTAAGAAATCAGAATATAAAATAATTCTAAAGTCGGCCAGGAGTGGGGATTATACCTGTAATCCCAGCACTTTGGAAGGCCGAGGTGGGTGGATCACCTGAGGTCAGGAGTTTTTAGACCAGCCTGACCAACATGGAGAAACCCCATCTCTACTAAAAATAAAAAATTAGCCAGGCATGGTGGCACATGCCTGTAATTCCAGCTACTCGGGATGCTGAGGCTGGAGAATCACTTGAACCCAGGAGGTAGAGATTGTGGTGAGCCAAGATCATGCCATTGCATTCTAGCCTGGGTAACAGGAGCAAAACTCTACCTCAAACAAACAAACAAAAACAACTCTAAAGTCAATCCAGGTCTAAAATTCTACTTCTATAATTCTATTCCAAATGAGGTTTTTTAATTTCAAACATGGGACAAAGGCAGCTTAAAAGTATAAAGACACTTCAGATCCAAAGGTTTTCACGTAGTCCAGTAGAGTGGAACAAACGCCATATATTCTTTCTATCAGTAATTAGGAATACTCTACTTTATGCAGTGGGTGTATTCTGAAACATTAAATATATACTGATTTTGATAAACGCAATCAATCCTTGCAGTGAATCCATTAGTTAGGAAAGAATACTTCACATTTTGTATTAAAGAGAAGTGCCTATGGCTGGGCACAATGGTTCACACCTGTAATCCCAGCACTTTGGGAGGCCAAGGCAGGTAGATCACGAGGTCAGGAGTTCGAGACCTGCCTGGCCAAAATGGTAAAATCCTGTCTCTACTAAAAATACAAAAATTAGCTGGGTGTTGTGGCGGGTGCCTGTAATCCCAGCTACCTGGGAGGCTGAGGCAGGAGAATCACTTCAACCGGGAGGTGGAGGTTGCAGTGAGCCAAGATCACACCACTGCACTCCAGTCTGGACTGGACAAAGTGAGACTCCATCTCAAAAACAAACAAAAAAGAGACATGCCTACATGATAAACATCATATAAAACAATATTGTTACTATAAAATTTTATATTTTAAACAAGGAAGTACTATTTCCTACCTCTTTAAAAATATTTATTTACAAGAGTTTACTATTCCATCTCCACTATATAAGCTGACATCAATCCAATCTATTCATATTTTCCATTAGAGAATAGGAAAGGAGTCAGACTGGACTGAATATGAAAGCTGGCTCTCTTTCAGCACTGAATCTTGCCGTCTTGTTATAAAGCAGGAACCACAACAAATAGATTACTACAGCATAAAAACATTTAATTTGCATTCATTTTCAAATACCATGGTGGATAGTAAGTTCCTTTAGATAGACAGGATGGTATTTTAGTCAGATCTTTTTGTAAGTTGACTTGTTAGTATCTTCCACATGCATATTAAGACAATATAATTTTAAGACTACAAACCGAATTCTTGTTATAAACCAAGCCAGGAAGAATTTTTATCACAATGTCAAACCTACATGAATCACTAATGACATTATTAGATAAATTAGAGGTTTAAAAGTACATCCTTCCTGACATTGGCAATGTGGGCGTCTGCACAGCACCCACAGCTGTGTTTCAGCAGTCTTGGCATAGCATTGCTAAGGTAATAAAAATTCTTGAAGGTGGGAAGTTTCCATCAATTAACTTTGAGAGAGACTCATCTGGAGCAGCCTCATCTCAGCCCACATATTATGATGATGTTATCTGCTCAGTATGCCCTTGCTAGAATGACAGTAGTTAAATATTGAATTTCTGATCATCCCCTTACCCCAGTTAATCAAATGTATTCTAAATCTAGAATAACACATTAAGCTAAAATAAAGAAGGCAAGTTCTCCACCTGACTTAGTATTCTTTTTCTTAGTGGACTAGATGGAATTAAAATTGGGGCTGAATTTAAGCTATTTTCTTTCTATAGCAACCTCTAAGAATGCCACCTGGAGTCAACTCCTATTGTAAAGCCCACACACCACCAATTCTCTTCATTAGCCCTTCTGTACCTAAATCATGTAACTTACCAAAGGACTAGTTCCTGCAGTTCTGGGTTTGGGGTTTTCACAACAGAAATCTCATTCCCTATGGGTGCTATCAGTATAATCTTACCATTTACTCACACTGATCAAGTTGACATCCAAGCAAAACCAGTTATCCTGTTTCCTGTGAATAGCAATCTAGATGTTACAAATTTACCAGAGATCAAACTACCACTACTGCTATAAGATCACAAAAAGATGAGGGCTTAGCAGTAACTTTCTTGTCATCCTTTCTCCACGATGAGAAGAAATTAGCACATCTTTACTGAAACAGCTCATGTCAGCATCACATATGAGACTTTCCTGTTGCTAAATCCAGTAGTCTATTCTCAAGTCTATTTCACTCAGGAGCCTCTGATTACTGATCATGCCATCTACCTTGGTACATTTTCTTCTCTAGGCTTCTATAATGTCACATTTTCCTATACTACTTACAGAGTTCTGTCTTCCAGTCTCCTTTGATGGTTTCTCCTCTTCTCGCTGCATTTCCAAACCCTCTTACTATGTTGCATGTAATTTTCTTTTTGCATAGACTTTATCAACTTCTAATATAGTCCAGCCATTTTTTAAATTGTTTTATTTTATTTTTTTGAGATTGAGTCTCATTCTGTCATCTAGACTGGAATGCAATGGCGTGATCTCAGCTCACTGCAACCTCTGCCTCCTGGGTTCAAGTGATTCGCCTGCCTCAACCTCCAGAGTAGCTGGGATTACAGGTGCCCACCACCATGCCCAGCTAATGTTTGTATTTTTAGTAGAGATGCGGTTTCACCATGTTGGCTAGGCTGGTCTCAAACTCTTGACCTAAAGCAATCTGCCTGCCTTGGCCTCTGAAAGTACTGGGATGAAGTGCCCAGCCACGCCATTTTTATTATGTTTATTGTTTATGTCTCCACTGCTCCTTCACTAGACTGCAGATGCTTTTGTCTCTTTTTGATGCCTAGTGCCCAGATCAGTGACTGGCACAGGGTATTCAATACATATTTGCTGAATGGGTATTACTATTTTTCTGATTCATGTAGGTTTAAGTCATTCCCTAACTCCTTAGAATGAATCTTACTTAAGAGTAGAAAATTGGCAAGGCACAGTGGCTCATGCCCATAATCCCAACATTTTGGGAGGTTGAGGTGAGAGGATCACCTGAGGTCAGGAGTTTGAGACCAGGCTGGCCAACATGGTGAAACCCCATCTCTACAAAAATACAAAAAAATTAGCCAGGTGTGGTGGCACATGCCTGTAATCCCAGCTACTTGGGAGGCTGAAGTAGGAGAATCGCTTGAACCGGGAAGGCTGAGGTTGCAGTGAGCTGAGATCTTGCCACTGCACTCCAGCTTGGGTGACACGGCAAGACTCTGTCTCAAAAAAAAAGCTGGGCACGGTGGCTCACGCCTATAATCCCAGCACTTTGGGAGGCCGAGGCAGGCAGATCACAAGGTCAAGAGATCGAGACCATCCTGGCCAACATGGTGAAACCCCATCTCTACTAAAAAATACAAAAATTAGCTGGGCATGGTAGTGCACACCTGTAGTCCCAGCTGCTTGGGAGGCTGAGGCAGGAGAATTGCTTGAATCGAGGAGGCAGAGATTGCAGTGAGCCGAGATTGCGCCACTGCACAGCAGCCTGGAGCCTGGCAACAGAGCGAGACTCTGTCTCAAAAAAAAAAAAAAATCAGTATATTTACAAAACAGTGTACCATATAACATAATCTTCAGTAATTTTCAGTTGTTACCTATAGGATATAATTTGTAATTAATGCCAAATAAATACAAGAATAGCTTTACATAACTTTTTGTGTGTGCTACACACAAATAATCCCTTATTGGTTATTTTTATTTTTGTCAAAATATTGTAGTCACCTCCTTTAAAAAGTCAAATTGTACTAAAAGACTTATAATGAAAGACCCTTCCCCATCCTTCTCTAAGCTCCAGAGGCTACCAATTTCAACTCTTCTAGTCATTCTCCCTGTTTTCTTCTTCTTCTTCTTCTTTTTTTTTTTTTTGAGGCAAACCTTCACTCTTGTCATCTAGGCTGGAATACAGTGGCCCAATATTGGCTCACTGAAGCCTCCGCCTCCCAGGTTCAAAAGATTGTCCTGCCTCAGCTTCCCTAGTACCTGGGATTACCAGCAACCGCCATCATGCCCAGCTAATTCTATATTGTTAGCAGAAATGGGGTTTCACCTCAGGTGATCTACCTGCCTCAGCCTCCCAAAGTGCTAGAATTATAGGTGTGAGCCACCATGTCCAGCCTGTTTCCATCTTTCTAAAGAAAATATTTATACTGATATTTCTTAATTTATCAATATTAAATACCAGATTTATTATCTTCCCCCCATGGTAGAAGACATCTTAGTTCTTTTTGATTTCTTGCTTTATCAATATTAACAATATCATTTTACCAACATGAAGTTTTAGTAATTATTCTCACATACACGACTTTCCTCTCCCTCAATTCTCCCAATATTTGGTTAAATCAGTGAGTTTTAAATTACTATTACAGTCATACAAATAGTGTGAACTGCATAGACTAAGACCACAACTCCTTTCTTGTACAATTACAGTCATGTGTCACTTAATAATGGGGATATGTTCTGAGAAGTGCATTGTCAGGCAATTTTGTCATTGTGCAAACATCATACAGCATACTCATATAAACCTGATGGTATAGTCTACTACACATGTAGGCTATATGGTACAGCCTATTGTTCCTAGAGACAAACCTGCACAGTGTGTTACAATATTGAGTACTGTAGGCAGTTTTAAAACAATGGTAAGTATTTGTGTAACTAAACATAGAAAAAGTACAGTAAAAAATATGGTATAACAGATAAAAATGATATACTTTATAGGGTAGGGCAGCTCTATTATGATTTTATGGGAGTACCACTGTACATGAGGCCTGTTAATGACTAAAACGTTGTTTTGGGGTACCTGACTGTATTTTGTTTTTCGTAGAGTTGATAACTGCTTTATTTTTTTCATTTGCTCTGTTTCCAACATACCTATCAGTATGCTTTTTCCAAATGCTCCAACATCATTGTGGCACATCATTCAATAATATTTTTCATATGCTCATATAAATCAGTCCTTATTTTTTCCTAGGAAACTCCCTGGTCTAGGCCTATTTCTTGTTTTTTTTTTTTTCCCCTAGAAAACTCCTTGGCCTATACCTGATAAAGAAATGATATCCTGGAACTTCCTTACGGATCCCTTCTGTGGTGAATCACCTGTTCCCAGATCCCATGTTTCTCTTCTTTTAAATTTATTTTAACAAATTAGTTCTTAGATTTTACTAGAGTACATCCTCCTGCTAGTTTTTGTTTGTTTGTTTGTTTGTTTGTTTGTTTGTTTTTGAGACAGAGTCTCACTCTTGCCCAGGCTCAAGTGCAATGGTGTGATCTTGGCTCACTACAACCACCAACTCCTGAGTTCAAATGATTATCCTGCCTCAGCCTCCCGAGTAGCTGGAATTATAGGCATGCACTACATGCCTGGCTAATTTTTGTATTTTTAGTACAGATAAGGTTTCACTATGTTGGTCACTTTTTAACAAATATGGTATATTTCCAATTCTTCATTCAACGCCTCTTCTCCTCCTTGGTGCCTTGAGAAGCTCCCACTGCTAGTCCTGTATGGTTCCCACATTGTTGGATTTTGCTCCTCAGGATACATCACTCTCTTTTCTTTCTTTCCTTTTCTCTTCTCTCTCTCTTTTTTTTTTTTCACTTTGAGATGGAGTCTTGCTCTGTGGCCCAGGCTGAACAGCAGTGGTGCAACTTCTGCTCACTGCAACCTCCGCCTCCCAGGTTCAGCAATTCTCTGCCTCAGCCTCCCAAGTAGCTGGGATTACAGACCCCCACCACCACTCCCAGCTAATATTTGTATTTTGTTGTTGTTGTTGTTGATACAGAGTCTCACTCTGTCACCAGTCGCCAGGCTGGAGTGTAGTGGCGCAATCTCGGCTCACTGCAACCTCTGCCTCCTGGGTTCAAGCAATTCTCCTGCCTCAGCCTCCTGAGTAGCTGGAACTACAGGCACACACCACCATGCCTGGCTAATTTTTTGTATTTTTTAGTAGAGACGGGGTTTCACCATGTTAGCCCAGATGGTCTCAATCTCTTGACCTCATGATCCACCAGCCTCGGCTTCTAAAGTGCTGAGATTACAGGCGTAAGCCACCAAGCCTGGTCTAATTTTTGTATTTTTAGTAGAGACAGGGTTTCACTATCTTGGTGAGGCTGGTCTTGAACTCCTGACCTCATAATCACCTGCCTTGGCCTCCCAAAAGTGCTGGGATTACAGATATGAGCCACCATGGCTGGCGTACACCACTTTCTTTAGAGAATAAACTCTACTGGCTTTTACTGAGATCTGCAGATGTAGGCATCTCATCATTTCTTCATACCTATTTGGTCTTTCTTCCATTTGATAGCTCTTAAGCTATTTTGTGATTTGATGGTACAGGTATTTCCTATTCTTATTGAAGATGGTGTTGACTTCTTTCTTTCTTCCCCCAATTATTTTTTTCTGATGATTTTTGAGAGAAGCAGACAAGATCATTGTTATTCTATTTTTTTTTTTTTTTTTTTTGAGACAGGGTGTTGCTCTGTTGCCCAGGCTGGGGGGTAGTGGTATGAACACAGCTCACTGCAGCCTTGGCACCTTCTGGGCTGGGCTCAAGTGATTCTCCTACTTCAGTCTCCCAAGTAGCTGGAACTACAATCACACACCAACACACCTGGCTAATTTTTAAAAAATGTTTGTAGAGGCTGGGCGCGGTGGCTCACGCCTGTAATCCCAGCACTTTGGGAGGCTGAGGCGGGTGGATCACGAGGTCAACAGATCGAGATCATCCTGGTCAACATGGTGAAACCCCGTCTCTACTAAAAATACAAAAAATTAGCTGGGCATGGTGGCACGTGCCTGTAATCCCAGGTACTCAGGAGGCTGAGGCAGGAGAATTGCCTGAACCCGGGAGGCGGAGGTTGCAGTGAGCTGAGATCACGCCATTGCACTTCAGCCTGGGTAACAAGAGGAAAACTCCGTCTCAAAAAAAAAAAAAAAATGTTTGTAGAGATGGGGTCTTGCCATGTTGCCTGGGCTGATCTTCAACTTCTAGGCTCAAGCCATGTTCCCACCTTGGCCACCCAAAGTGCTGAAATTACAGATGTGAGCCACTGCACCCAGCCTAGATACTTGATTCTTATAAATTGTGATAGAACAAGTAAATTTTCAGATGAGATTGAGCACATTCAGGGTGGTATGAACATAGACAAAACAAGTAAATTTTCAAAACAGAGATAGCAGGAAGAATTTCCGACACTGAAAATAATGACAGTGTATCTCATTTTTAAAACCTTCCAAAGCTAACAGAATTTTAAATGAGTTAAGAATAAACAAGCTAACTTCCCAAATATGTACATAAAACAAAATAACATAAGCTGGGCACAGTGGCTCATGCCTATAATCCCAGCACTTTGGGAGGCCGAGGCGGGTGGATCACGGGTGTTCACCATCCTGGTCAACAAGGTGAAACCCCGTCTCTACTAAAAATACAAAAATTAGCTGGGCATGGTGGTGCATGCCTGTAGTCCTAGCTATTCAGGAGGCTGAGGCAGGAGAATTGCTTGAACCCAGAAGGCGGAGATTGCAGTGAGCCGAGATCGTGCCATTGCACTCCAGTCTGGGTAACAACAGTGAAACTCCGTCTCAAAAAAAACAAAAAACAAAACATAAAGAAACCCAGTTGTATTTCAGATTGGTTCTGTGAAAACTTATATCTAGCCAGAAACATAATAAGCAAGTAACTTAATTTTCAGGGGTTAAGTTACTCTGCTTCTCTTCACAAAATACATAAGGAAAAAATTGCTTCTGAGAGTATCGAATGCTTTTTTTCTCCTTGTCAGTATTCTATTATACAAATGTTCAAATGCACAGAAGAATGAAAATAATTTTACAATAAATATTCATATACCCATTATTTAGAATCATCATTAATATTTTACTATCCAGATGAAATAATAGTAATATCACATATAATACATATAATAATTTCTTTCAAATGTCAAGTAGTCTTGACAATAGTATAAGAATGCCAGAATAGTACATTTTTCCACAGTGAGAGGCTTTTTTTGTCTCTGCTTGGGTATCTGCCAGATAAAGCAAAAAAAAATTTTTTTTTTTGAGAGGGAGTCTTGCTCGATAGCCCAGGCTGGAGTGCAGTGATGGGATCTCGGCTCACTGCAACCTCTAGCTCCCGGGTCTGGTTCAAGCAATGCTCCTGCCTCAGCCTCCTTAGTAGCTGGGATTATAGGCACACGCCACCATGTCCAGCACATTTTTGTATTTTAGTAGGGAGGTCCTCCCGCCGGCCTCCCAAAGTGCTGAGATTCCAGGTGTGAGTCTCCACGCCTGGAATTTCTTTTCTTTTCTTTTTTTTTTTTGGAAACAGGGTCTTGCTCTGTCACCCAGGCTAAAGCACAGTGCTATGAACACAACTCACTGAAAGCCTCTACCTTCTAGGCTCAAGTGATCCTCTTGCCTCAGCCTCTCATGTAGCTGGGACCACAGGTACGTACCATGCTGGTTGTTTTTTTTTTTTTTTTGAGTCAGAGTCTTGCTCTGTTGCCCAGGCTGGAGTGCAGTGGTGCGATCCCAGCTCACTGCAACCTCTGCTTCCTGGGTTCAAGTGATTCTCCTGCCTCAGTTTCCCAAGTAGCTAGTACTACAGGCACCCACCACCACACCTGGCTCATTTTTTAATTTTTTAGTAGAGACGGGGTTTCACCTTGCTGGCCAGGCTGGTCTCGAACTCCTGACATTAGGCGATCCACCCGCCTCAGCCTCCCAAAGTGCTGGGATTACAGGCGTGAGCCACTGCACCGGCTGTCTGGCTAATTTTTTAATTTTTAAAGACGGGGTCGTACTTTGTTGCTCAAGCTGGTCTTGAACTGGGCTCAAGCAATCCACCTGCCTCAGCCTCCCAAAGTGCTGGGATTACAGGAGTGAGACACCACATGTGGCCTTAAATGAATTTATTTGAGGTAACACTGCTATAGTAACAAAGGCCCCTGATTGATATATCTATTATGGGTAACTGGTAACAGTAATGGAAACTGCAACCCAAACACTTCACTAAGATTCCATTATTTTTTTGGAAAGGTAGCTGCAGAAGGCCAAAAGACTGAAAATACTCTAACACTAATTTAAAAGTCAGTACATAATATATCTCTATAGATAAAAAATGAATATATTTTAAAGCAAAGACATTTATTGTAAGTCCATATGTTCTGACAAATTTCAGTCACATATAAAAACCTAAATTGGGAGTTAAAATGAAAACATAGCGGCCGGGCGTGGTGGCTCACACCTGTAATTCCAGCACTTTGGGAGGCCGAGGCGGGTGGATCACGAGGTCAAGAGATCGAGATCATCCTGGGCAACATAGTGAAACCCCGTCTCTGCTAAAAATACAAAAATTAGCTGGGAATGGTGGCGTGCGCCTGTAGTCCCAGCTACTCGGGAGGCTGAGGCAGGAGAATTGCTTGAACCAGGGAGGCGGAGATTGCAGTGAGCCGAGATTGTGCCACTCCACTCCAGCCTGGCACCTGGCGACGAAGTGAGACTCTGTCTCAAAAAAAAAAAGAAAACACAAAGTCTCTGAATTAAATGTTAGTCAATATTTTTTAAATCAAGAGTTTAATTTTCATGTTATAGTACCTTGTTTTTAGATGTACATTTATTTTATCTATTTGAGGTTATAAAATTTACATATTATAGTCAATTCAGTTAGAAAAATTAGGTTGTTTTAATTAACGCAAGCATATGAAATCTGAAGTTGTAGATACCATTGCAGTTTTATATTAGCCCCAATAGCTAATTGTTTTTGTTATGTTACAATGAAGACATTCAATTTTCACAAATGCCATACAAATACTAATTTAAAAAAAATCAGCTTCTCTTAAAATCTCAAGCTGTTCTTCAATTAAATAGAAATGGTAACATTTATTAGGAAATGAACACGCACATGCAAAATAATCTGGCAGCACGGCATAATTAATTGGTTATGGATGCTAAGTGTATCATATTATTTGACTATTCTTTATATACACATTCTATAACATACATATACTCACACACATGCATACACTATTGATTGATTGACTGAAACGCAGTCTCGCTCTGTCATCCAGGCTGGAGTGCAATGGCGAGATTTCAGCTCATCACAACCTCTGCCTCCTGGGTTCAAGCGATTCTCCTGCCTCAGCCTCCTTAGTAGCTGGGATTACAGGCATTTGCGACCACACCTGGCTAAATTTTGTATTTTTAGTAGAGATGGGGTTTCACCTTGTTTGCCAGGATGGTCTCCATCTCTTGACCTCATGATCCACTTGCTTGTCCTCCCAAAGTGCTGGGATTATAGGCATGAGCCACCACGCCCAGCCATACACACATATTTTAAATGATTCATATCACAAGCACATAGTTAAAAACTAAAAAATATAAAGGGAGTTATAATGAAAAGCAATAGTACTCTTCCCTCCTATTTCAATGCTATTCATCAGAGACAACTAATAAACCAATTAGAATACTTTGCAATTTTCTTTTTTTTAATTTACACAGAATCTCACTCTGTTGCCTAGGCTAGAGTGCAGTGGTGCAATCTTGGCTCACTGCAGCCTCCTGGGTTCAAGAAAGTCTCCTGCCTCAGCCTCCTGAGTAGCTGGGACTATAGGCATGTGCCACCACACTCACCTTATTTTTGTATTTTTAGTAAAGATGGGGTTTCACCGTGTTGGCCATGCTGGTCTCAAACTCCTGACCTCAAGTGATCCTCCCATCTTGGCCCCCCAAAGTTCTTTCTGAGATTATAGGCATGAACCACTGCACCCAGCCAATACTTTGCAATTTAGCTTAATACAAACCACACATAACATTAACAAACAATTCTCAGTTGGAGGAAAAGAGAAGGAACGGTATAGAGAAACTAGTACATCCATACACTATTGATAAGAATGTAATTTAATGAAATCATTTAATTTTATTTATTGTTTTTAGGAACTTGCTCCTTACTGAAACCTACAGATCAGTGTCCCTCCTTTCTCCCTCAAAACTCTCTGAAACCCATGCTATACCTACAGAATGGGAGAAAATTTTTTAAATCTACCCATTTGACAAAGGTCCAATATCCAGAATCTACAAGGAACTTAAACAAATTTATAAGAAAAAAACAACCCCTTCAAAAAATGGGCAAAGGGAGAGGACTCAAGATGGTGCTGTGAGAACAACCCAGGATTGAAGCTCGCGGTCAATGCGTGGAAGGGGTGAGTCAGGGCCGCATTTCCAGACGGATCTTTGTTGCCCACAGAACGGGGAAATTCCTAGGTATAGAGGAGATGCGGGACGCCAGGCAGAGGTTTTGGCTGGTGCAGCCGGTGGCCGGTGCGGCAACGGCCCACGCTGTGGCGGTGCTACACAGCGGTCCCCACAAAGCGCGCTCGTCCAGGTGCCCTGTTGGGCCGGCAACTTGAGACTTGGGAGGGCTGAACTTGAGACTGAACGGGACTTGGACAGTGAGCCAGCCCAGGAGATTCCAGGGTCACAGCGTTTGGGGTAGCGCAGTGGGACAAACAAAACGGCGATTCCAAATGCTCCCCATGGAGGGGTTCCCTGAGGCCGCAGCTCCATGGGGGAGGGGAGCCTGCCATTACTGAGGCAAACCGCCCCTACTGAGGTACACGCCCATTGCTGATGCAGCCTGCCATTGCCGAGGCAACCCGCTACAACAGAGAGACTCCGCCTCAGGGCGTAGCCCGTGGCAGCAGGGCGGAGACCGCAGCAGAAGGGCAGAGCCTGCAGCAACAGGGCGAACCTCACACCAGCAGGGCAGAGCCTCGGCAGGCAAATAGTGACTAGACTGCCTCCTAGCTGGGCAGGAGAGCGCGGTGGACACTCACAAGGAAAGCCCCAACCCCCCCCAGACAGAGCATCTGAGAAAAAAAAGGGTTTTTTTTTTATGAGTTATGTTGCAGCAGAATTAAACATAGCAGCCTAACAGCCCTGAATGAACAACAGAGCTCACAGCTCAGCACTTGAGCTCCTACAAAGTACAGACTGTCTCCTCAAGCAGCTCCCTGACCCCTCTATATCCAAAAGACTGACATTTGGCAGGCATCATTCTGGGACAAAGATAGCAGAAAAAGAAACTGGTAGCATCCCTCACTGTTCTGCAGCTGCTATAGGTGCACCCCAGAGAAGCAGGGCCTGGAGTGGACCTCAGCAGTCGTACAGCGAAGGGGCTGACTGGTAGAAGGAAAACCAAGTAACAGAAATACTTCATCATCAACAATCTGGGTGTCCACTCAGAGACCCAATCGAAAAGTCAGCAACTACACAGACGAAAGGTGGATAAATCCACAAAGATGGAAGAAAGCAGCGCAAAAAGGAGAAAAACACCCGAAACCAGAACACCTCGCCTCCTAGAAAGGACCAAAACTCCTCACCAGCAAGGGAACAAAGCTGGATGGAGAATGACTGTGACGAAATGATGGAATTAGACTTCAGAAGGTGGATAATGAGAAACTTTTGTGAGCTAAAAGAACATGTTTTAAATCAATGCAAAGAAACTAAGAACCTTGAAAAAAGATGAAAAAAGATTCGAGGAAATGATAACAAGAATGGATAACTTAGAGAGGAATATGAATGAATTAAAGGAGCTGAAAAACACAATACGAGAACTTCGCGAAGCATGCACAAGTTTCAATAGCCGAATTGACCAAGCAGAAGAAAGGATATCAGAAGTCGAAGATCAACTCAATGAAATAAAACGAGAAACCAAGATCAGAGAAAAAAGTGCAAAAAGGAATGAACAAAGTCTCCAAGAAATGTGGGACTATGTGAAGGGGCCTAACCTACATTTGATAGTCGTACCAGAATGTGACGAAGAGAATGAATCCAAGCTGGAAAATACTCTTCAGGACATTATCCAGGAAAATTTCCCCCACCTAGCAAGACAGGCCAACACTCAATTGCAGGAAATACAGAGAACACCATAAAGATATTCCACAAGAAGAGCAACCCCAAGGCACATAATCGTCAGATTCAACAAGGTTGAAATAAAGGAGAAAATACTAAGGGCAGCCAGAGAGAAAGGTAGGGTCACCCACAAAGGGAAGCCCATCAGACTCATAGCAGATCTCTCGGCAGAAACTCTACAAGCCAGAAGAGAGTGGGGGCCAATATTCAACATCCTTAAAGAAAAGAACTTTCAACCCAGAATTTCATATCCAGCCAAACTGAGCTTCAGAAGTGAAGGAAAAATAAAATCCTTTGCGAACAAGCAAGTACTCAGAGATTTTGTCACCACCAGGCCTGCTTTACAAGAGCTCCTGAAAGAGGCACTATACATAGAAAGGAACAACCAGTACCAGCCATTCTAAAATCACACTAAATGCTAAAGAGCATCAACATAATGAAGAATCTATAACAACTAATGGGCAAAACAGCCAGCTAGCATCAAAATGGCAGTATCAAATTCACACATAACAATATTAACCCTAAATGTAAATGGACTAAATGCACCAATCAAAAGACACAGACTGGCAAATTGGATAAAAATCCAAAACCCATCAGTGTGCTGTATCCAGGAAGCCCATCTCACATGCAAGGATACACAAAGGCTCAAAATAAAGGGATGGAGGAAGATTTACCAAGCAAATGGAGAGCAAAAGAAAGCAGGAGTTGCAATTCTCATCTCTGATAAAATAGACTTTAAAGCAACAAAGATCAAAAGAGACAAAGAAGGCCATTACATAATGGTCAAAGGATCGATACAACAAGAAGAACTAACGATCCTAAACATATATGGACCCAATACAGGAGCACCCAGATACATAAGGCAAGTTCTTAATGACTTACAAAGAGACTTAGACTCCCACACAATAATAGTGGGAGACTTTAACACTCCACTGTCAATATTAGACAGATCAACCAGACAGAAAATCAACAAGGATATCCAGGGCTTGAACTCAGACCTGGAGCAAGCAAACCTGATAGACATTTACAGAACTCTCCACCCCAAATCCACAGAATATATATTCTTCTCAGCACCACATCACACCTACTCTAAAATTGACCACATAATTGGAAGTAAAGCACTGCTCAACAAATGCAAAACAACTGAAATCATAACAAACAGCCTCTCAGACCATAGTGCAATCAAGTTAGAACTCAGAATTCAGAAACCGACCCAGAACCGCACAGCTTCATGGAAACTGAACAAGTGGCTCTTGAATGTTGACTGGATAAACAATGAAATGAAGGCAGAAAAAAGAAGTTTTTCGAAACCAATGAGAACGAAGACACAACATGCCAGAATCTCTGGGACACATTTAAAGCAGTCTCTAGAGGAAAGTATATAGCAATAAGTGCCCATATGAGAAGAATGGAGAGATCCAAAATTGACACCCTATCGTCAAAATTGAAAGAGCTAGAGGAGCAAGATCAAAAAAACTCAAAACCCAGCAGAAGACAAGAAATTACTAAGATCAGAGCTGAACTGATGGAGATTGAGACATGAAAAACCCTCCAAAAAATCAATAAATCCAAGAGTTGGTTTTTTGAAAAGATCAACAAAATAGACAGACCACTAGCCAGACTGATTAAAAAGAAAAGCGAGAACAACCAAATAGATGCAATAAAAAATGATAAAGGGGAAATCACCACAGATTCCACAGAAATTCAAACCAACATCAGAGAATATTACAAACAACTCTATGCACATAAACTAGTAAACCTGGAAGAAATGGATAAATTCCTGGACTCCTGCGTCCTCCCAAGCCTAAACCAGGAGGAAGCTGAAACTATGAACAGACCAATAACAAGGGCAGAAGTCGAGGCAGCAATTAAGAGCCTACCACACAAAAAAAGCCCAGGTCCAGACGGGTTCACAGCCGAATTCTACCAGACACACAAAGAGAAGCTGGTACCATTCCTTCTGAAACTATTCCAAATAATCCAAAAAGAAGGAATCCTTCCCAAATCATTCTATGAGACCAATATCATCCTGATACCAAAACCCAGCAGAGACTCAACGAGAAAAGAAAACTTCAGGCCAATGTCCATGATGAACATAGATGCAAAAATCTTCAATAAAATATTGGCAAGCTGATTGCAACAGCAAATAAAAAAACTTATCCATCATGATCAAGTAGGATTCATCCCGGGGATGCAAGGCTGGTTCAACATACGCAAGTCTATAAACATAATTCACCACATAAACAGAACCAAAAACAAAAACCACATGATTATCTCAATTGACACAGAGAAGGCATTTGACAAAATTCAACAGCCCTTTATGCTAAAAACCCTCAATAAACTCGGTATCGATGGAACGTATCTCAAAGTAATAAAAGCTATTTATGACAAACCAACAGCCAATATCATACTGAATGGGCAAAAACTGGAAGCATTCCCTTTAAAATCTGGCACTAGACAAGGATGCCCTCTTTCACCACTCCTATTCAATACAGTACTGGAAGCTCTAGCCAGAGCAATCAGGCAAGAAAAAGAAATAAAGGGTATTCAAATTGGAAAGGTGGAAGCCAAATTGTCTCTATTTGCAGACGACATGATAGTATACCTAGAAGACCCCATCACCTCAGCCCAAAAACTCCTGAAACTGATAAGCAACTTCAGCAAAGTCTCGGGATATAAAATCAATGTGCAAAAATCACAAGCATTACTATACACCAATAACAGACTCAAAGAAAGCCAAATCAAGAACGAACTGCCATTCACAATTGCTACAAAAAGAATAAAATACCTTAGAATACAACTCACAAGAAACGTAAGGGACCTCTTCAAGGAAAACTACAAACCACTGCTCAACGAAATCAGAGAGGACACAAACAGATGGAGAAACATTCCATGCTCATGGTTAGGAAGAATTAATATCGTAAAAATGGCTATACTGCCCAAAGTAATTTACAGAATCAATGCTATCCCCATCAAGCTACCATTGACTTTCTTCACAGAACTGGAAAAAAACACCATGAACTTCATATGGAACCAAAAGAGAGCCCGCATAGCCAAGTCAATTCTAAGCAAAAAGAACACAGCGGGGGGCATCACACTACCAGATTTCAAACTATACTACAAGGCTACAGTAATCAAAACAGCATGGTACTGATACCAAAACAGAGATATAGACCAATGGAACAGAACAGAGGCATCGGAGGCAACACAACATGTCTACAACCATACAATCTTTGATAAACCCAACAAAAACAAGCAATGGGGAAAGGATTCCCTGTTCAACAAATGGTGTTGGGAAAACTGGCTAGCCATGTGCAGAAAGCAGAAACTGGACCCCTTCCTGACACCTTACACCAAAATTAACTCCAGATGGATTAAAGACTTAAACATAAGACCTGGCACCATAAAAACCCTAGAGGAAAATCTAGGCAAAACCATCCAAGACATAGGAGTAGGCAAGGAATTCATGAACAAAACACCAAAAGCATTGGCAACAAAGGCCAAAATAGACAAATGGGACCTAATCAAACTCCACAGCTTCTGCACGGCAAAAGAAACAGTCACTAGAGTGAATCGGCAACCAACAGAATGGGAAAAAATTTTTGCAGTTTACCCATCTGACAAAGGGCTGATATCCAGAATTTACAAAGAACTCAAACAGATTTACAGGAAAAAAAAACAAACAAGCCCATTCAAAATTGGATAAAGGATATGAACAGACACTTTACGAAAGAAGACATATATGAGGCCAACAATCATATGAAAAAATGCTCATCGTCACTGGTCATCAGAGAGATGCAAATCAAAACCACATTGAGATACCATCTCACGCCAGTTAGAATGGCGATCATTAAACAATCTGGAGACAACAGATGCTGGAGAGGATGTGGAGAAAAAGGAACACTTACACTGTTGGTGGGACTGTAAATTAGTTCAACCATTGTGGAAAACAGTGTGGCGATTCCTCAAGGCCTTAGAAATAGAAATTCCATTTGACCCAGCAATCCCATTACTGGGTATATATCCAAAGGACTATAAATCATTTTACTATAAGGACACATGCACACGAATGTTCATTGCAGCGCTGTTTACAATAGCAAAGACCTGGAATCAACCAAAATGCCCATCGATGATAGACTGGATTGGGAAAATGTGGCACATATACACTATGGAATATTATGCAGCAATCAGAAATGATGAGTTTGTGTCATTTGTAGGGACATGGACGAATCTGGAGAACATCATTCTCAGCAAACTGACACAAGAACAGAAAATGCAACACCGCATATTCTCACTCATAGGTGGGTGATGAAAAATGAGAACACATGGACATAGGGAGGGGAGTATTAAACACTGGGGTCTATTGGGGGGAAAAGGGGAGGGCCAGTGGGAGGGGGAGGTGGGGAGGGATAGCCTGGGGAGAAATGCCAAATGTGGGTGAAGGGAAGAAAGGAAGCAAAACACACTGCCATGTGTGTACCTATGCAACTGTCTTGCATGTTCTGCACATGTACCCCCAAACCTAAAATGCAATAAAAAGTTAAAAAAAAATGGGCAAAGGATATGAAAAGACACTTCTCAAAAGAAGACATTTATGCGGCCAACAAACATATGAAAAAAGCTAAACATCACAGGTGATTAGAGAAATGTAAGTAAAAATCATAATGAGATACCATCTCATACCAGTCAGAATGGTGATTAATAAAATGTCAAGAAACAATAGATGCTGGTGAGGTTGTGGAGAAACAGGAACACTTTTACACTGTTGGTGGAAATGTAAATTAGTTCAACCATTGTGGAGGACAGTGTGGTGATTCCTCAAGGATATAGAACCAGAAATACCATTTGACCCAGCAATCCCATTACTGGGTATATACCCAAAGGAATATAAATAATTCTACTATAAAGACACATGCACACATATGTTTATTGCAGCACTATTTACAATAGCAAAGACATAGAACGAACCCAAATGCCCATCAATGATAGAATAAATAAATAAAATGTGGTATATAAACACCATGGAATACTGTGCAGCCATAAAAACGAATGAGATCATGTTCTTTGCAGGGACATGGATGAAGCTGGAAGCTATCATCCTCAGCAAGCTAACACAGGAACAGGAAACCAAATACTGCATGTTCTTACTCATAAGTGGAAGTTGAGCAATGAGTACAGATGGACACAGGGAGGGGAACAACACACACCAGGACCAGTCAGGGGGTGGGGAGCAAAAGGAGGGAGAGAATTAGGACAAATAGCTAATGCATGCGGAGCCTTAAAACCTAGATAATGGGTTGACAGGTGCAGCAAACCACCATGACACACATATGCCTGTGTAACAAACCTACACATTCTCCACTTGTATCCCGAAACTTAAAGTAAAATTAAAAAGAAAAAGAAATCCATGCTTCTGGACTAAACTTCCGACCTCAAGTGATCCAGCTGCCTTGGCAACCCAAAGTCTTCGGATTACAGGCATGAGCCATCACACCTATCTCTAATATCTTTCAAAATTCACATTTCAACCAAACATTAGAAATTTATTCTATTTATATAGCTGTAAAAGTACTTCAATCACAAGGTCAGGAGATTGAGACCATCCTGGCCAACACTGTGAAACCCTGTCTCCACTAAAAATACAAAAATTAGCCGGATATGGTGGTATGTGCCACACCACTGAGTAGTCCCAGCTACTCAGGAGACTGAGGCAGGTAAATCACTTGAAACCAGGAGGTGGAGGCTGCAGTAAGCTAAGATCATGCCACTGCACTTCAGCCTGGGCGACGGAGCGAGACTCCATCACACACATACACACAAAAGTACTTCAAGACATATATTTAACAATGTTTGCTAGAGCAAAAACCTAGAAATAATTTTTTTTTAAATTCTCAATAGGGCACTGGTGAAATACAATGGAATACAGTGCAGCCATTAAAAAGAATAAGGTAAGAGGCTGGGCTCAATGGTTCACAATCTGTAATCTCAACACTTTAGGAGACCAAGGTAAGAGGATTGCTTGAGGCCGAGAGTTCAAGACCAGTCTTGGCAACGTAGTAAGATCCCATCTCTACAAAAAATACAAAAATTAGCCAGGTGTGGTGGCACATACCTGTAGTCCTAGCTATATGGCAGGCTGAGGTGGGAGGATCCCTTGAGCCCAGGAGTTCAAGGTTGCAGTGAGCTATGATCGCGCTACTGTATCATTGAAACAGCTAAATGTGACTAAAGTAAAATTCAATATAATGACCTGGCTTCTTTAATTCATTACTACTAACTTTAAATGACTCTTTACTATATTTTTAAAAAACCAACTCTTCTCCCTCCCTCTCCTCATTCTCATAGAAAAAACAGAAATTATGACTCAGATAAGCTCTCATCACACTAAACATATACTAAAATATGTGCATCTACACCCGTACACTTTCTTCCTATATAATGGTAAAACTGTCCATAATCCTAGCTAAGGCCATCTCTTCTATGTATCCATTGAATTTTTTTCTTTGAGTCGGAGTTTCTCTCTTGTTACCCAGGCTGGAGTGCAATGGCACGATCTTGGCTCACCGCAACCTCCGCCTCCTGGGTTCAGGCAATTCTCCTGCCTCAGCTTCCTGAGTAGCTGGGATTACATGCAAGCGCCACCATGCCTAGCTAATTTTTTGTATTTTTAGTAGAGACGGGGTTTCACCATGTTGACCAGGATGGTCTTGATCTCTTGGCCTCGTGATCCACCCGCCTCAGCCTCCCAAAGTGCTGGGATTACAGGCGTGAGCCACCGTGCCCGGCTTTTTTTTTTTTTTTGAGACAGAGTCTCACTGTGTCACCCAGCCTGGAATGCAATGGCTTGATCACAGCTCACTACAGCCTCAACCATGCAGGTTCAAGCGATTCTCTTACCTCAAAGGCACCTGGGTGTTGTTTTTGTTGTTTGTTTCTTATAGAGATGGCGTCTTACTATGTTGCCAAGGCTGGTCTCAAACTCCTGGGCTCAAGCCATCCACCCACCTCAGCCTCCCAAAGTGCTAGGACTACAGACGTGAAACACTGCACCTAACCACATCTATGGATTCTATCCTCTCTCACCAACCTGCAATTTTCTCTCTCTTACATTATCAGTTCTCTCTCTCTACTAGTCATTTCCATTGGCATGCAATGTTTCCAATGTTAAAATACAGGTTTCTTGACCAACATCTCACCTCCCCAGTCAAAGTCCCATTTCTCTACTGTCCTTTCCAATCGGACATGAAAGAGCAATCTGTACTTGCGACTACCTTCTTTTCCCATTTTCTCTTTAACTCGTTCCATTCAGGCTCTAATTCTCACCGTTTTTCTGAAACTGCTTTTATTAAAGTCACAATGTCTTCCATTTTGCCAAACCCAACTGTCAATTCTCATTTTAATTTTACTTGTACTATCAGCAGTATATGACACAAATGATCATTTTTCTCTACCGTGAAACCTTTCCGTTTCACTTTTGGGTCACTACTTCTCTTGGTTCTCTTTCTATTTCATTAGATCCTTCTTTTGATCTCTTTCACTGGTTCCTCTTCTTTTTCTTTTTTTTAAGATGGAGTTTCACTCTTGTCTCCCAGGCTAGAGTGCAATGGGGTGATCTCGGCTTGCTGCAACCTCCGCCTCCCAGGTTCAAGCACTTCTGCCTCAGCCTCCCAAGTAGCTGGGATACAAGTGCCTGCCACCATGCCTGGCTAATTTTTGTATTTTTAGTAGACACAAGGTTTTGCCATGTTTGCCAGGCTGGTCTCAAACTCCTGACCTCAGGTGACCCACCCATCTTGGCCTCCCAAAGTGCTGGGATTACGGGTGTAAGCCACAACACCAAGGCTTTCCTGACCTCTAAAAATGGTAATTGCCTAGGGTTGATTTCTTGCTTTCTTCTCTATCTATAGCCATTTAATAGATTTCATCATGTCTCATATCTTTATATATTATCTATATGCTGATGACTCCCAATGTATGTTTCTGGTCCAAACCTCTCATTCAAACACCAGGCTCTTATACTCAAGTACCTACTCTTGGATAGCTAATGTTCATTTCAAACTTATTAAACTTATTTGTCCCAAAACAAAATCCTAATTCTCAACCTCCTTTTCACCAAACCTATTTCTCCTATAAACTTCCTTATTTCAATAAACAGTAACTCTATTTTTTCATTTGCCCTAATTTTAATAATGGGCCAAGGAAGGAGGGTAGTGAAGATTATAGGGAAAATGGATCCAAGCACCTGTTCGAGTTAAAATTGTTGAAGTTCATGTACTATAGGGAGAGGGCTGGAAAGACAGGAGTTGTGACAGGAGAGTGCAATGCTTAAAATGAAGGTTGTTATTAGTAATGACATGGCCTAGAGGATGATCTTAGGAGTAACTAAATTGAGGTGGAAGACAAGACCATTGGAGGTGAGGAGGTCAAGAAACAGAGATATCTGAGCATTACAGGATTGTCTGTGTAGATACTAAAATAACTAAAACTTTTAAAGAGCTGTGGAGGGAAAGACAGTAAGGTTGGTGCTAAAACTCATTTTCCATATTTAGAAATGACTCCTTTCCAAAAATCTTAGAGTCATTTTGATTCCTCTGTTTATCTCACATCCCAAATCCAATCCATCAGCAAATCTTCTTGGTTCTATCTTCAAAATCCGACTATCTGTTACCACTTTTATAGATAGCCCACTAGTCTAAACCATCATTACTATGATTTCCCTGGATTAACGTCATCAACTGCTATCTAGTCTCCGCTCTGCCTCCTCCAACCCCATAGTTTATTCTGCCAGCAAGAGCCAGATAAGTCCTTTAAAAATGTCAGTACCAATGGTAAATTCTTAGTTTTGATTAATGTACCACAATCATGTAGCACCTGAGAGAAGGAACTCTTTATCTTTTCAACTTGCTATAAATCTAAAATCATTTCAAAACAAAAAGTTCAAAATTAGTTACGTCATTGATACTTATCTGCTTAAAACCTTGGTGCCAAAAAGCACACAGAAAGTACTCAATAAATATTTATTGAATGAACAGCTGAAAGCTGAATGTTAACTATTCAAGAACTCTCAAATTCAATGACTGTATATTTCCCTACATCACGTCTTTCCATCTATCAATTTCTATTCTTCCACCAGGTTTAGTACATGTTTCTAAATCCCACATTCCTCTTACGGTTTTCTTTCTTCTCTCACACACAATGACTATTCCTATCCATTATCTTCTGAGAGCTATAAAACCTTAAGGCATTTCTCCCTTTCAAATTTAAATCTAAATTTAAATTACCTTTTCAAAGCGCTCTGAATCAAACCACTGTGAAAATTATAAATCTGAAGGCTATAGAGCTCTGCTTCCATTTATGGTTCAGAACAGAATGCTTGGGGTTTTAAAGATGTCAACATCCCAGTTTATGCAGATAAAATTTTAGACCTCATAACTGTAGCTCATAAAAGCAATTCCTTTTCTGTATTTTATCTAGATTTAGATTTTGAGTTCAAGAAGCAAAGATCGTGGCTAATTCTGCATCTTTAAAAGTACCTGAATAAATGTTTCTTACTCTGTTAGAAGCCGTTTTTTTTTTTTTTTTTTTTTTTTTGAGATTGAGTCTTCCTCTGTCACCCAGGCTGGAGTGCAGTGGTGCAATCTCAGCTCACTGCAACCTCTGCCTCCCAAGTTCAAGCAATTCTCCTGCCTCAGCCTCCCGAGTAGCTGGGACTACAGGTGAACACCGCCATGCCCGGCTAATTTTTTCTATTTTAGTAGAGTCGGGGTTTCACCATGTTGCCCAGGCTGGTCTCAAACTCCTGAGCTCAGGCAATCTGCCTGCCTCAGCCTCCCAAAGTGCTAGGATTACAAGAAGTCTGTATTTTTAAAGCATACATTATTTTTAAAAGTTATATTTGGGAGTTTATGGTAGGTAAAAAGCACCCTACTAAAGATCATAAATTAAACATTACAAATCTGAATGATATAGTATAGCATTCGACTTATCCTTATATGAAAGAGGAAATCTGTTTGACACAAATTCCAGTAATCTAAGTAATCTGTACCTGATAAAAAGAATATGCCCTTAGAAATTCTACTGGTTAATAGTTCAGTTTCTGAAGGAACTATTTTTAAATAAGCCTTAAATGTACACCAAACCTCCAATACAGTTGGCAGCTTCAGAAAAGCTTAATTACCCTATTATTCTTTTAACCATCCAAATAAACCAATCCACTGACTACCACAGCACTTACTACCTGCTGTGAGCACAGTCAAATGGATTCCCCACTGTTAAACTCAGAAAATAAACCAAAAGAATTTTAGAAATGAAAAGAAATAGGAATGCTGATGGGGGAAGTAACAAAATTACAACAACTAGAAACAAAATGGTTTTAATACTGAGAAAGATCTGAGAAACTGTTTTCAGGAATTCTATGGAAAATATCTAGGAAAATGTGTTTTGTTTTGTTTTGTTTTGTCTCATTCTGTCGTCCAGGCTGAAGTGTAGTGGCACAATCTCAGCTCACTGCAACCTCTGCCACCCGGGTTCAATCGATTCTCCTGCCTCAGCCTCCCAAGTAGTTGAGACTACAGGTGTAAGCCACTGCACCGGGTTAATTTTTGCATTTTTAGTAGAGACAGGATTTCACCATCTTAGCCAGGCTGCTCTTGAACTCCTGACCTCGTGATCCACCTGCCTTGGCCTCCCAAAGTGTTGGGATTACAGGCATAAGCCACCACACCCTGCCTGGAAAATGCTTTTATTCATAGTTGTGAAATAAAATTACAACTAAGAATAGAGTAATTTACCATGATTTTCTTTAACTGCTACTCCATAGGGAACTAAATAATAAAATTATAGTTTGACTTTGAAAAGATCTGATCTGGTCAGAAAACAAAAAATGACAAAAGTAAAAAAAAGAAGGATTATAAAACTTTTTTATGCAGAAGAACCACAACAGTACAAAGTATGTATTATTCTCATAGTGAGAAGAAGAAATACTTGGCAGTAGATATCATAGAAGGGCTCAAAGTCATTTTACTTTCCAGCAATAGCTTCTCTTCTGAATTCACCATAAAATTGGTTCTGTGCTGCTTAAGTTAAACCAAAAGTAGTGGCATCAAGCTGAGTAAATTTGATTGCAGAGAGCTATTGTCTATTTCCAAATAGTTTTCAGAAAGATGTCTCCTTGATGGAAATGCTGAATTATAACCTGAACTGTCACAACAACACATCTGGCCACTGCCTTAGGAAAAACTGTCACAGAGTAAACGGAGAATAAGAAATAGGAGAATGTGGGCCAGGCGCGGTGGCTCACGCCTGTAATCCCAGCACTTTGCAAGGCCGAGGTGGGTGGATCACAAGGTCAAGAGGTCGAGACCATCCTGGTCAACATGTTGAAACCCTGTCTCTACTAAAAATACAAAAAAATTAGCTGGGCATGGTGGTGCATGCCTGTAATCCCAGCTACTCAGGAGGCTGAGGCAGGAGAATTGCCTGAACCCAGGAGGCGGAGGTTGTGGTGAGCCGAGATCGTGCCATTGCACTCCAGCCTGGGTAACAAGAGCGAAACTCCGTCTCAAAAAAGAAAAGAAAAGAAATAGGAGAATGTATGCAATAAAAAAATGCTACAATCCTCTAGCTAAGAAAACAAACACAAATAGATAACAAACCATGGTAACAATTATTAATACAATAAATTCTAGGCCTCACCAAACAAAACAAAACAAACAAAAAAACCTTAATACATTATGTATACCTTTTAATTTCCAATGAATACCGATAGGTTTTTTCCTTTTTTCTGAGACAGAGTCTTGCTCTCTTACCCAGGCTGAAATGCAGCGGTGCAACCTCAGCTCACTGCAATCTCTGCCTCCTGGGTTCAAGTAATTCTCATGCCTCAGCTTCCTGAGCAGTTGGGATTACAGGCGCACACAACCACACCCATTTAGTTTTTGTGTTTGTAGTAGAGAGACTGGGTTTCACCATGTTGGCCCAGCTGGTCTCACACTCTTGGCCTCCAGCAATCCACCCACCTTGGCCTCCCAAAGTGCTGGGATTATAAGCATGAGCCACCATGCCTGGCCACTGATAGTTCTACTGAGGGAATCTCTGTTGACTAGTTTACTAGTCTTATATAATAATACCACATATTTGTATAGTACTTTATGTTTTCAAATGGTTTTCACATATACTATCTCAGCCCTTAAAGCTCTCAACTAAATCCTAAGAGATAGGTACAATATGTATTAAAGCAAAATCATAGAATCGGAAGGAACCACAGAAGTCATCTAGTCAACTTTCAATTTGCAGGTAGGAATTCTCTCTATAATATCCCTAACATCTGATTGATTAGCTTCTGTCACGATTCCTTTCTTTTCTGAGACAGAGTCTTGCTCTGCAACTCAGACTGGAGTGCAGTGGTGTGATCATGGCTCACTGCAGCCTCAACCTCTCAGGCTCAAGCAATCCTCCTGCCTCAGCCTCCTGAGTAGCTGGGATTTTAGGTGCGAGCCACTGTGCTGGGCTATAATTTTTTTTTTTTAATGACAGCAAGCTCATCCTTAAGCTATAATTTCTTATTGACAAGAATTTATAAGCAAAGGCCTATGGAGAATGAACAAGGCTGAATTAAATATTTACTTAAATAGGATCAGGTAAACAGGACAATAGAAAATTCTACCTCTATCCTATTACTTTCTGTTTATTCAAACTTTATTATGTGCTAGACATTTATGTATATGCTCTCTCTTAAACTTTACAACAACCTGTAAGGAGCAGTTAATAGCTGCTTAATTGTTAGGGATGCTATGCTTGAAATCATTTTTTCCAAATTATTTAATGGCCTTTAAAATCTACTTAAATGCAGTGAAATGTGTCCGTAGTCCCAGCTACTTAGGAGGCTAAGGTGAGAGGATCACTTGAGAGGAGAAGTTTGAGTTTAGCCTGGACAATATAGTGAGAAACCTTGTCTCAAACAAACAAACAAAAACACACAACATGATTTAAATAGAAAAACTCTGATGATGCATGTTGAAGAGTAGGCATAGCTAAAGATGAAGTATGATTATACCAATTTTATAGATGAGAAAATTGAAAGAAAACAAAACAAAACAAAAATTAAAAAAAGAAAACTGAGTTAAGTGAATTAGCCCTAGTTATATTTAGGAAGTAATGGTGTAGGACCTAGAACACAAATCTTCAATCTACAAATTCAGTATTCACTCCATTCCACATTGCCAAGTAGAAGGTAAGCTACAGTGCATTTTAAGAGATCAACATTTGAAAATCCCTTAAATTTGCAACAAAAATATACCCATTTGGCTATAAAAATGGCACTTAATATAGCCAGCTCTGAGTTAAATGGGAATTATAAAGACGTAAAATTCAGGGCTTTTGGCTGGGTGCGGTGGCTTATGCCTGTAATCCCAGCACTTTGGGAGGCCAAGGCAGGCAGATCATGAGATCAGGAGTTTGAGACGAGCCTGCGAACATCGAGAAACCCCCGTCTCTACTAAAAATACAAAAATTAGCCGGGTCTGGTAGCAGGTGCCTGTAGTCCCAGCTACTCAGGAGGCTAACACAAGAGAATTGCTTGAACCTGGGAGGAGGAGGTTGCAGTGAGCTGAGATCATGCCATTGCACTCCACAGCCTGGGTGACACAGTGAGATGCCATCTCAAAATAATAATAATAATTCAGGGCTTTTACACACTAATAATCTACTAACCATACATGATTCAATATAATCTGTGGTCATTGTGTCAGGCTTTTGAACCATAGCAACTCCATCTTGAATAGGGGTTGGGTAAAATAAGTCTGAAACCCACGGGGCTGCATTCCCAGACAGTCAGGAATTCTAAGCCACAGGATGAGAGAGGAGGTCGGCACAAGACACAGGTCTTAAAGACCTTGTTGATAAAACAGGTTGCAGTAAAGAAGATGGCTAAAACTCACCAAAACCAAGATTGTAACGAGCGTGACCTCTGGTCATCCTCATTGCTACTTTCCCACCAGTGCTATGACAATGTACAAATGTCATGGCAACATGAGAAAGTTAACTTACATAATTTAAAAAGGGGAGGCATGAATAATCCACCCCTTGTTTAGCATATAATCAAGAAATAACCATAAAAATGGGCAACCAGCAGCCCTTGGGGCTGCTCTGTCTATGGGATGGTCATTCTTTTATTCCTTTACTTTCTTTTTTTTTTTTGAGACTGAGTTTCACTCTTGTTACCCAGGCCGGAGTGCAATGGCGTGATCTCAGCTCACTGCAACCTCCGCCTTCTGGGTTCAGGCAATTCTCCTGCCTCAGTTTCCTGAGTAGCTGGGATTACAGGCATGCGCCACCATGCCCAGCTAATTTTTTGTATTTTTAGTAGAGACGGGGTTTCACCATGTTGACCAGGATGGTCTCGATCTCTTGACCTAGTGATCCACCCGCCTCAGCCTCCCAAAGTGCTGGGATTACAATTCCGTTACTTTCTTAATAAACTTGCTTTTGCTTTGCACTATGATTCAAGAACCCTCTCTTGGGGTCTGGATTGGAATCCTATTCTCGTGAAATTACAACCACTGATACTATGTATTTGTGAATTACTACAAAAGCAGCAAAGTAGCCAAAGTCTGTTCCTTCCTTCTCTCTTCCTCTCTCTCTCTTTTCCTCTCTCCCATACAGACACTACAAAATGACAACAATCTTGGGTGCTAACTAATAAATAATTGTGGAAGATAAAGAGAAATGTCAAAAATCCTGATTTAAAATAACTTTGTTATAGATTATATGTACTTTTTAGTGAGTTTAGTCTATGGAAAATTGTAAAGTGGGTAAAGATTTCTCTAAAATCAGGTCTTGTTCACATGTTATCTCTGTATCAAAATTTGCTGGACTCATCACATCATATCAACATAGTATCACTGCTGGTGACAGTAACTTTGATCACTTGGTTAAGGTAGTATTTACCAGCTTTCTCCATATTCTTTTTTAGGAAGCGAGTCAGCCCACACTCAAGACTGGAGATGTGGGTGAACACTACCTCCTGGAGAAGGGCCTACTACCTCTGTGGTATTCTTTCCAGAAGCCCATAACCCCGGTCTAGTCTTTTGGAAAACATCAGATAAGCCCAAATTGAAAAACATTCTATAAACCACACAGCTAGAGCTCCTTAAGACTGCTATGCTCATAGGAAACAAGGAAAGATTGAGTAACTGTCACAGACTGCAAAATAATAAAGAAACATGATGCCATGTAGTATCCTGGATTGGATCCTGAACAGAAAAAGGACATTAGTGGAAAAGCTGGCCGGGTGCAGTGGCTCACGCCTGTAATCCCAGCACTTTGGGAGGCCGAGGCGAGAGGACATGAGGTCAAGAGATCGAGACCATCCTGGTCAACAAGGTGAAACCCCGTCTCTACTAAAAATACAAAAATTAGCTGGGCATGGTGGTGCATGCCTGTAGTCCCAGCTACTCGGGAGGCTGAGGCAGGAGAATTGCTTGAACCCAAGAGGCGGAGGTTGTGGTGAGCCGAGATTGCGCCATTACACTCCAGCCTGGGTAACAAGAGTGAAACTCTGTCTCAAAAAAAAAAAAAAAAAAAAGAAAGAAAAGCTGATGAAATACAAGATAAGTCTGGAATGTAGTTAACAGTAATGAACACATGCTGTTTGGCTTCTTAGTTTTGTCAAACATACCACTATAATATAAGATGTTGAAATTAGGGGAAATGGTAAGAGGTAGATGGTAATATTGAAACTGAAACTACTTTTGCATAAATTATGACAGTGAGAAAAATCAGACATGGAAAAATTATGATGGTGAAAGAAATCTAACCTAACTGACTCCATCTTGTTTCTAACCTCCAAACTGTCCTTATTCACTCCTGGGCAGAGGTCAAGCTAACCATGGGAGAAATTTAGTTTAACTTTAAAACAAATATGGTAATACCCTTCTTGCTCAGGGAACAAAACCGTCTTTGTAAAACTCACAAATTAGCCAGAAGGTTACAATTGTGGTTCAGCAGTCATGTATAGAGGTCACAAGATTTGTAACCTCTTCAATTGTTCCTATGATTATAAAACCTAAGATTTGTGTTTGGATATTTTTCAGACCTCTATTTTGATGGACTAGCTGGTGCCACCTGGACTCAGCTGGTCTTGCAATCCTACCCAGGAAGTGAAGACAGTAAGACAACTTAGATTCCCCTATGATTTCATCCCCAACTCAACCAATCAGCATTCCGCTAGCTCCCTGCTGCCAAATTATCCTTTAAAAACCCTAGTCCCTGAATGTTCAGAGGGAGTGATTTGAGTAATAAATTCCTGTCTTCTGCTCAGCTGGCTCTACATTCATTACACTGTTTCTCTATTGCAATACTGCTGTCTCAGTAAATCAGTTCTATGCAGTAGGCAAGAAGAACCCACGGGTGATTATCATATTATCTTAGCAGCTTTCCTGTACATCTAAAATTATCCAAAATTTAAAAGTTTGTTTTTTTTTTGAGACGGAGTTTCACTCGTTACCCAGGCTGGAGTGCAATGGTGCAAATTCGGCTCACCGCCACCTCCGCCTCCTGGGTTCAGGCAATTCTCCTGCCTCAGCCTCCCGAGTAGCTGAGATTACAGACACGGGCCACCGTGCCCGGCCAAAGGTTTGTTTTTTAAAAAATCTGCTCAAAGCTAGATACTTATAAACTCACTCATTACCTTGCTAACTGTAGGACATGGGAAAAAATCAAACACTTTCTACTCTCAACACTCAACATGTTAATTCTGACACAGGTGTGTGTTTTTTTTCCCCATACATCAAGCAATTCTCCAACAGACACCAAGTGAGTGCCCTATAATTCAATCAATTCTGACTCCATCTACCTGGAGATAGGTAGAATGATCAATTCACTATAAATTAGGGGTTCTCATGACCCCCTCTTCAGGTCCAACTAATTTTCTAGAGTAGCTTACAAAACTCAGGTATATCTCTACTTACTATTGCCAATTTATTTCAAAGGATATTTTATTTTTTATTTTTTGTACAAATGGTATAAGAAATAGCATCAACAAAGGATATTTTATTTTTATTTTTTTATATTATTTTTTTTTTTACTTTTTATTTTTTGAGACAGAGTTTCACTCTCATTACCCAGGCTGGAGTGCAATGGTGCGATCTCAGCTCACCGCAACCTCCGCCTCCTGGGTTCAAGCAATTCTCCTGCCTCAGCCTCCTGAGTAGCTGGAATTACAGGCACGTGCCACCATGCCCAGCTAATTTTTAGTATTTTTAGTAGAGATGGGGTTTCACCATGTTGACCAGGATGGTCTTGATCTCTTGACCTCGTGATCCGCCTGCCTCGGCCTCCTAAAGTGCTGGGATTACAGGCTTGAGCCACCATGCCCAGCCTAATTTTTTTTTTTTTTGAGACGGAGTTTCGCTCTTGTCACCCAGGCTGGAGTACAATGGCGTGATCTTGGCTTACCGCAACCTCCGCCTCCTGGGTTCAAGCAATTCTCCTGCCTCAGCCTCCCGAGTAGCTGGGACTACAGGCGCGCGCCACCATGCCCAGCTAATTTTTGTATTTTTAGTAGAGAAGGGGTTTCACCATGTTGACCAGGATGGTCTTGATCTCCTGACCTTGTGATCCACCTGACCTTGTGATCCACCCAAAGTGCTGGGATTATAGGCGTGAGCCACCGCACCCGGCCAACAAAGGATATTTTAAAGGATACAAATCAACAGCCAGATGAAGAGACACTTAGGGTGATGTTTGGAAGGGTCCCAAGCACAGGAGCTTCTGTCCCTGTGGAGTTAAAGGTGTGCTACCCTGCCCAGAATGAAAAGCTCTTTGAATCCTGTCCTTTTCTGGGTTTTTACAAAGGCTTCATTATGTATGCATGATTGATTAAATCATTGGCCACTGGTGACCAGCTCAACCTTCAGCTCCTCTCCCCTCCCTGGATGTAGGGGTTGGATGGAGGAAGTGGGACTGAATGTTTCAATCTTTTTTTTTTTTTTTTTTTGAGACAGAATCTTGCTGTCACCCAGGCTGGAGTGCAGTGGTGCGATCTTGGCTTACTGCAACCTCCGACTCCCAGGTTTAAGCAATTCTCTGCCTCAGCCTCCCGAGTAGCTGGGATTACAGGAGCCCACCACCATGCCCGGCTAATTTTTGTATTTTTAGTAGAGATAGGGTTTCACCATTTTGGCTAGGTTGGTCTTGAACTCCTGACCTCGTGATCCACCCTCCTCAGCCTCCCAAAGTGCTGGGATTACAGGTGTGAGCCACTGTACTGCCAAAAATTTCAATCTTTTAATCACATGGTCTGTTTCCCTGGCAACCAGCCTCCCCATCCTGAGGCTATATAGGAGCCACCAACCAACATTATCATACAAAAAGACACATCACTTTGGAGATTCTAAGAGTTTTAGGAGCTGTGTGTCAGGAAATGGTGAGGTAGACCAAATGTATTATTTCTTACTATAAATCACAGTATCACATTGACTGTATCCTACAATGCTACTCTTTCCTTAATCCACTCCAGTCACACTGGCTTCCTTGTTATTCCTCAAACACACCAATTATGCACTTACTTCAGGCCCTTTGTATTTGCATCATTTTCTCTGCCTGAAACAAATTTTCTTCAGACAGTCATATGGTTCGTACCCTCATTTCCTTCAAGTCTCTGCTTAAATGTAACATTAGAGGGGATTTTCTTACTCTCTTTAAAAAAGAAACTTCTTGTCATCTTTCTTATTATTTATTTGTGAATGACTGTCTATCTCACTCTTGCCCTCCATAGGGACTCAATCAATAATGTTCACATCTTCAGCACCTAGAACAGCACCTAATATATGGCAGGCAATCAACAAATATTTGTTGAATGAATGAATGACTTTTTATTAAAAACATACAAAAGAAAACCCTTCACGGTTATCTGCATTTAAACAAGAACAAAACAATAAACCAAAGAAATAAACCTCTAGTGCTACAATTTTAGATATTATTATTAACCAGTAGAGATACTTTTAAATACACCTGAACATCCTTTAACTGACCCTTTGAAATCATGCATAGATCATTGCTTATTTCATCTGGTCTTAAGGCCTATTCCAATCTTTAGTAAGAACCTCACTATTGGTCGGGCGCGGTGGCTCAAGCCTGTAATCCCAGCACTTTGGGAGGCCGAGGCGGGTGGATCACGAGGTCAACAGATCGAGACCATCCTGGTCAACATGGTGAAACCCCATCTCTACTAAAGATCCAAAAAATTAGCTGGGCATGGTGGCACATGCCTGTAATTCCAGCTGCTCAGGAGGCTGAGGCAGGAGAATTGCTTGAACCCAGGAGGTGGAGATCGCGGTGAGCCGAGATCGCGCCATTGCACTCCAGCCTGGGTAACAAGAGCGAAACTCCTTCTCAAAAAAAAAGATCCTCACTATTCTGTAGCACACAAAAAAGTTAAGTGTTATCCCCTTAACCTTGTTACCGTGTTACAATTCCTGTGTTACAATTAAAATAAAGGGAAAAGGCTGGGTTGGTGGCTCACACCTGTAATTCCAGCACTTTGGGAGGCCAGGGCGGGTGGATCAGGAGGTCAAGAGATCGAGACCATCCTGGTCAACATGGTGAAACCCCATCTCTACGAAAAATAGAAAAAATTAGCTGGACATGGTGGCGCATGCCTGTAATCCCAGCTACTCAGGAGGCTGAGGGAGGAGAATTGCCTGAACCCAGGAGGCGGAGGTTGCGGTGAGCCGAGATCGTGCCATTGCACTCCGGCCTGGGTAACAAGAGCGAAACTCCCTCTCAAAAAATTAATTAATTAATTAATTAAATAAAGGGAAAAAATGTGAAGAGAATTATTTTAACAATAGAAGAAGACTTCCAGCTTTGGTTCCACTTGTAAGAAGCTTGAAGTGTCCACTCCAACCTAACAACAAGTAAAAAGCCAAGCAAACTGCAAAACCAACAACGCTTCTTAGATTTGTAAGAGAAGTGAGGTCACAACTTCTTCTAAAATTGGACAGATGTATACAAAGAATTATAAAACATATCCAACAGAAACTTCCACAGGAACCAGGTCCAGGGTAAGAAAACCTAAACTGTAACTGAAAAACTGCTGGAGGCGAGGTGTAGAAGTCTGAGAGTCGGAAACTCCAGAAAGACCCAGTCAGAGGGGCTCCCCACAGTTTTGTGAGTTAAACCTCCAAGAGCTCTACCAGGTCATCACAGTGAATACCAGAGAAAAATCCTCCCATGCATCTGGCAAGAAGAGGGGGAAAGGAACCATGTTGAAATGTGGCAGAGCATTCTGTTCTTCTTAACAAGGTCTTCCTTCAGGATAAACTAGCTAACCAGACTCTAACCTGCTGGGGTTTATCAGAGCTTAACTGACCTAGAGGAAGGGCAATACCCATCTGCAGCTCACTCTAGCCTTCTTGTCCCATCTAAGGGGGAAGAAAAAAAAAAAACAAACCCTGAAACCATATGTAAAGCTCATAATCCATAGATACAGGCTCACTAAAAGAATGAAGTCTAATTATAGGACTCTAGAATGCTTCCCCTAATTACACACCTTATCACTGAATTTCTAAAGCCCTATTAAGAAAAAATTACAAAACATACTAAGAGCAAAAAACACATTTTGAAAAGACAGGACAAGTATCAGAACTAGATATGGTAGAGATGTTGGGATTACCACATCAGGAATTTAAAACAACTATAATTAATATGCTAAAAGCTCTAATGGATAAAATAGACAACATGCAAAGAGGTCGGCAATGTAAGCAGAGTGGTGGAAACCCTAAGAACGAACCAAAATCAATCCTAGAGATAAAAAATACTGTAAAAGAAATGAGGAGTGCTTTTGATGGGCTTATTTGTAGCCTAGACTTGGCTTAGGAAAGAATTTCTAAGCTTGAGGATATACAATAGAAACCTCCAAAACTGGAAAGCAAAGAAAACAAATACTTTAAAAACAAAAAAAACAGAACAGGGAGCCTCAGTGGCTCATGCCAGTTGTCCTGGCACTTGAGGTGAGGCTACATGTTCGAGGCCAGCCTGGGCAACATAAGAACCTCTCATTCATTTAAAAAAAAAAAAAAAGAACAGAATATTCAAAAACTGTGAGGCGACTCATTATATAAATACCAGGCAAAAGGAAAGACAGAAAGTAACAAAAGAAATATTTAAAATGATAATGATAACCGGGTGCAGGGAGTGAGACTCTATCTCAGAAAGAAAAAAGATAAAGAAAATCAAGGATAAAGAATAAACTATTGAAAGAAGCCAGAAAACTAAAACACCTTACTTATAGAGGAGCAAAGACAAGAACTGTATCTGTGTTTTCCTCAGAAACCAGGCAAGCAAGAAGAGAATGGAGTGAAAAAACACTGTTGAGAGAAAAAAACCACCAACCTAGAATTCTGTACCCTGCAATATTACTTCAAAAGTGAAGGAGAGGTCAGCCATGGTGGCTCACACCTATAATCCCAGTGCTTTGGAAGGATTGCTGGAGGCCAGGAATTCAAGTCCAGACAGGCAACATAGCAAGAGCCTGTCTCTACAAAAGGGAAACAAAGATATCCAGGTGTGGCGGCATGTACCTGTAATCCTAACTACTCAGGAGGCTGAGGCAGGATTGCTTGAGCCCAGGAGTTCAAGGTTACGGTGAACTATAATCATGCCATTGCATTCCAACCTGGCTGACAGAGTGGGAACCTGTCTCAGTCGGGTGTGGGGGAAGGGGAGGAAAGAGTGAAGGAGAAATAAAGACTTTCTCAGACAAACAAAAAAACTGAGGAAATTTGTTGCCAGTAGACCTGCCTTGCAAGAAATATTAAAAGAAGTTCTTTGGGGCCGGACGCAGTGGCTCATGCCTGTAACCCCAGCACTTTGGGAGGCAGAAGTGGGTGGATCACCTGAGGTCAGGAGTTTGAGACCAGCCTGCCCAACATGGCAAAACCCTGTCTCTACTAAAAATATATATGTGTGTGTACACACGAAATTAGCCAGGCGTGGTGGTGGACACCTGTAATCCCAGCTACTCAGGAAGCTGAGGCAGGAGAATTGCTTGAACCCAGGAGGTAGAGGTTGCAGTGTGTTGAGATCACCCCACTGCACTCCAGCCTAGGCGACAAGAGCAAAACTCTGTCTCAAAAAAAAAGTTCTTTGGAAAGAAGGAATTGATACAAGTCAGAACTGAGATGTACATAAAAAAAGAAAAAAGCACAAAAGAAGGAATAAGTAATAATAAAAGTTAAAGCTTTTATTTTTCTTATTCTTTTTTTCTTGAGACAGAGTCTCATTCTGTCGCCAGGTGCCAGGCTGGAGTGCAGTGGCACAATCTCAGCTCACTACAACCTCCGCCTCCTGGATTCAAGCAATTCTCCTGCCTCAGCCTCCCGAGTAGCTGGGACTACAGGCGCATGCCACCACACCCAGCTAATTTTTGTATTTTTAGTAGAGACGGGGTTTCACCATGTTGGCCAGGACAGTCTCAATTTCTTGAGCTCATGATCCGCCCACCTTATCCTCCCAAAGTGCTGGGATTACAGGCTTGAGCCACCACGCCTGGCCTATTTTTCTTATTCCTAATTGATTCAACCTAACAGTTTGTCCATAATGGCAACACTACATTTGATTATGAATATGTATATATCTTATGTGTATACATATATATCTATATGCTTATGTTTATGTATAGGTAAAATAAATAACAACGATACAAGAGATGGCAAGTAGGAGTTAGAATTATTTTATTATTATAATGTACTCACACTATCAATGAAATGGTGTAGTGTTATTTGAAAGTGGGCTTGAGGCCAGGTATGGTGGCTCACACCTGTAATACCAGCACTTTAGGAGACCAAGGCAGGCGGATCACAAGGTCAGGCATTCAAGACAAGCCTAACCAACATAGTGAAACCCCATCTCTATTAAAAATACAAAAAGTAGCCTGGTGTGGTGGCACGCACCTATAATCCCAGCTACTCAGGAAGCTGAGGCAGGAAAATCACTTGAACCTGGGAGGCAGAGATTGCCGCGAGCCAAGACTGCGCCAGTACACTCCAGCCAGGGAAACAGAGCAAGACTCTATCTCAGGCCGGGCGTGGTGGCTCATGCCTTTAATCCCAGCACTTTGGGAGGCCGAGGTGGGTGGATCACGAGGTCAAGAGATAGAGACCACCTTGGCCAACATGGTACAACCCTGTCTCTACTAAAAATACAAAAATTAGCTTGGCATGGTGGCACGCGCCTGTGGTCCCAGCTACTTGGGAGCCTGAGGCGGAAGAACCGCTTGAACCCAGGAGGCGGAGGTTGTAGCGAGCCGAGATTGCGCCTCTGCACTCCAGCCTGGCGACACAGCAAGACTACATCTCAAAAAAAAATAAAAAAAGACTCTCAAAAACAAACAAACAAAAAAACGGGGGATGGGGGCGGTGGTGGGCACAGTGACTCATGCCTATAATCCTAGCTGTAAGTTGGGAGGCCAAGGCAGGTGGATCAAGAGGTCAGGAGATAGAGACCATCCTGGCCAACATGGTGAAACCCTGTCTCTACTAAGAATACAAAAATTAGCTGGGCATGGTAGCGCAGGCTTGTAGTCCCAGCTATCCAGGAGGCTGAGGCAGAAGAATCCCTTGAACCCAGGAGGCAGAGGTTGCAGTGGCCTGAAGTTGCACCACTGCACTCCAGCCAGGGTTACAGAGCAAGATTCCATCTCAGAAAAATAAAAAATTTAGATTAGTTATCAGCCTTTATCCTATCCCCTAGGAATTTTAATAGTTTCTCACTGTATCTAAATTATTCTCTACTTTATATAGGTTAAGCAGCATTATACCTATTATCTCTCTTACTTTCCCACTAACTGCAATCAGAAAAGTAGGTATATCATCTGTAAAAACTGAGTAACTTAATGAAGCCAAAGACATTAGTCCAGCTTGCTTTGAACAGAGACAGAGGCTACTTAAGTAGCCTTGTTGGTAGACAAATAATTGAAATTAAACTAGCTTACTCGGCACCTGCTGCTTGGGGGAAAAAAAAACACTAAATTAGCTTTCCAGTTGCTGACGTTTTAAAATACTTCCTAGTTGTAACTGATTTTTATTACATGACATTTGACTGTGCCTAGTTGCTAGAGCTATCTATAGAATAAGCAGCCTGGTCTAAGGGAAAATATCCAACAGTTAGAAGAAAACAACAGAGAATCAGAAAGTGAAGCAGAAAATATGAAGGAGTAGCTGCAGACCACTGGGAGATGGCACAAAAGTAGATATAATTTCAAAGCATTAGAGATGGATATCCACACAGTTTCCCTAATCCACTAAATTAGATGGTGCAAGATTCCCTGTGTGTTCACTTTTCCTGTTTAGAGTTTTCTGTGTTACTCCCAGCACTTTGTGAGGCTGAAAAGCAGGAGGATCATTTGAGACCAGAGGTTTGAGATCAGCCTGGGCAACATAGTGATACCCTGTCTCTAAACACTTTTTTTTTTTTTTAAAGACAGAATCCTGCTCTGTCACCCAGGCTGGAGTGCAGTGGCATGATCCTGGTTCACTGAAACCTCTGCCTCCCAAGTTCAAGCAATTCTCCTGCCTCAGCCTCCAGAGTAGCTGTGATTACAGGTGCCCACCACCATGAGTGGCTAATTTTTGTATTTTAAAGAGGCGGGGTTTCACCATGTTGACCAGGCTGGTCTTGAACTCACCTCAGGTGATCCACCTGCCTTGGCCTCCCCAAAGTGCTGGGATTAGAGGCATGATCCACTGTGCTCAGCCTTAAAAACAATGTTAAAAAGAAGAAGGTAAAGAGAATGCAATTGATTTCTCTCTGTTTGGCACTTAATCTGCTAAGCTACAATGACTTGATCCCTTTCTACTAACACCATTAAAAAGGAAAGAAGTCTATTTTTAAATTTACTCTGAAACTTACTGAAAGATCTATTATAAAACAATTTCTATTATCCTGAGTTTTGTTTAAAAAATTTCTCCTTAGCATCAATAAATATATCTAAATGTATTTATATGTTGTTTCAAAATATTCTACAGCACCCAAGATATTTGCTTAGCAGTAGAATGCTGTATTATCTAATATACAAAGGGTAAGCTGTAAAAAAAAAACTATACTTGATAGCTGTGAAAGCTGCCAGTGCCAAAATGGAGTCACTTAACAGTGGAGTCAGGTGGCCATGAAGGGGAAGCACTCATGCACAAAGGCCTATAGGAGGACTTATCACAAGATATTCCTCCACACAGACCAGCAATAGGACTTACTGTAATAACTTCCTCAAAATTGCAATATTCCAGATAAGCTACCTGCACAAAGACACTTACCTAGCAATAACTGTCTCCACAATGAACAAATGCCAATTACTACAATGGGCTTCAGTGACCTATGGACTTTGTTTCAAAGCAGCTTTTATGGACTTCTGTCTTTAAAAATCTCCCTTTTGCTGCAACACCTCAGATATGCCCATGATCCATCACAGCACACATATTCTGGACTGTGGTCCCCTGCTATTCGCAAAAAAATTCTACTTTGTAGAGTTGATCTCTCTATCACTCATTTTAGGTGACACAGCTAACCAGAGAAGTTTTAACACATGATTAGGGTAGAACGGCTGATTATTCAATGTAATTCTTAAGTGTTTATATAAATTTTATCACTTTCATAGTGTGATCATAAATATATGGTTTCTGCCCATTTGCTGGCACACAGCTAGCTCCTAAAACGCTTAAGAGTCTCCAAAGTAGCGTGTCTTTTTGTATGCTATTGAGATGGCTGGTGGCTGGGGGCTCCAGAATAACTTCAGGATGGGGGTTGGTTGCAGGTAAAGCCACCATGTGATTAGAGGGTTAGAACTTTTAGACCCAACTCCAGTGACCTCTGGGAAGGAAAAAAGGGTTTAATGGCCAATGATTTAATAAATGATGCCTACATAAGCAAGCCTCCATAAAACAAAAGAAATACAGGGTTCAGAGAGCTTTCAGGTTGCTGAATATATGGAGGTGCTTAGAGGGTGGTGCATCCAGAGAGGGTATGAAAAAGTTAAACACTCCCTCATACTCTGACCTATGTATCTACTCCAACTGGGTGATCCTGAGTTATATTATTTTAGAATAAACTGATAACATAGTAAGTAAACTGTTTCCCTGGGTTTTGTGAGCTACTCTAGCAAATTATCAAACCTGAGAAGGGGGTCATGAAAACCTAATTGAACAGAAATTGTGGGCAACTTGGAGACCTACTATTTGCAATTTGCATCAGAAGTGGAGGGTAGTCTTATGGGACTGAATTCCTAATGTGTGGGGTCTGTACTAACTCTGGTTAGTGTCAGAATAGAATTGTAGGACACCCTGTAGGACACTTGGTGCTGGCAGAGAATTAGAAAATTGCTTTGTGTGGGAGAAACCCCTACACATCTGGTATCAGGAGTGGAGTACTGAGAATAGTAGACGAAAAAAGTTCTTTGTTTTTTGTTTTTTTTAAGATGAAGTCTTTGCTCTGTCGACAGGCTGGAGTGCAGCGGCATAATCTCAGCTCACTGCAACCTCAAACTCTCTGGTTCAAGCAATTCTCCTGCCTCAGCCTCCTGAAAAGCTGTGATTACAGGCACGCACCACCACACCCAGCTAATTTTTGTATTTTTATTTATTTATTTATTTTGGCCCAGAGAGCAGGTTTTATTTGGTGAATGCTGATGGTGAATCCAAGAGCGACAAGATGGAAAAGGTGCTGAGACAAGCTAGCCTAGGGCGCCTTCAGGCTAGATACAAAATTCACACAGGGAAAGGCACGAACTCTGGGGAGACTGGGAAGGTCCTCAGCCATTCAGCACCATGTGGACGAACTCTTCGTAGTTGATACAACCACTGCTGTCCTCGTGCCCTGCCACCAGCATCTCTACTCCTTCCTCTGTCATCTTCTCACCCAGTATGACAAGAACATGCTGGATTTCAGCACCCATAACGATGCCATTTCCTTCCTTGTCAAAAACCCGAGTCCTTCAACATAATCCTCATAGGTGCCCTGGTCCTTGTTCTTGGCCGCTGTCTGCAGCATGGGCAGAAAGTGCTCAAAGTCCAGCACCTTCACATTCATCTCATCACTCTTGGGGTTCCCCAGGACCTTGAGCACCTCGGTGTTGGTGGGGTTCTGGTCTAGGGCCCTCATCATGTCCCCACACTGGCTGTACAGGATCTTGCCATCACCTTTTCGGTCAAACAGCTGGAAGGCCTCCTTGAACTCTGCAGTCTGGTCTTCGGTGAAGTCACACATCTTGACTGCTCAGCTCTGCGGGACCTTTTTCAATTTTTGTATTTTTAATAGAGACAGGGTTTCACCATGTTGGCCAGGCTGGTCTCAAACTCCTGACCTCATGATCCACTTGCTTCGGCCTCCCAAAGTGCTGGGATTACAGGCATGAGCCACTGTGCCTGGCCAAATAGGTTTTTTTTCTATACACATGGTGTAGGTTTATAATTGACCTTGCTCTTTATTTCAATAAAAATCATTCTTTTAACTCCTTTTCATCACTTTTCTCTCAATGTATTTCATTCAATTGAGTAACATTACTTTATTATTTAATAACGCACTTGCCAGTAGTAGCCCAATAGAACTGAATTATGTATAGTAAAAGTAATAGATAATTAGTAAGATAAAATGTCAGGATCACCTATTCGGATATCATCGTGGTGCTAAGAGATATTTTCTCCATGGGACAGCACTATTAAGAACTTACAATTAACCATGTAAGAGGTAACATAAACTTTAAACTTAACAAAATAGTAAAGGGAGGAATTATAGTAAGTTTTTTTCAGATTTTATTTCACCAAGGTTTCAGTGGCAAGAGACACTTAAGATAGGCTTAATTTAGCATATCTGACCCATGCTGTCTCTGCCTTCACACCATTCCTCCTAGATACGCTTTACTCCAGCTATATGCAACTATTTACATAGTAGAGGTAGACATGACTGTGTGTTATGTTGTTTCATTTTTTTTTTTTTTTTGAGGCGGAGTTTCCCTCTTGTTACCCAGGCTGGAGTGCAATGGCGCAATCTTGGCTCACTGCAACCTCAGCCTCCTGGGTTCAGGCAATTCTCCTGCCTCAGCCTCCTGAGTAGCTGGGATTACAGTCACGTGCCACCGTGCCCAGCTAATTTTTTGTATTTTTAGTAGAGAAGGGGTTTCACCATGTTGACCAGGATGGTCTCGATCTCTTGACCTTGTGATTCACCCGCCTCAGCCTCCCAAAGTGCTGGGATTACAGGCTTGAGCCACTGCGCTCCGCCCTGTTGTTTCACATTAATACAACTTCATTGATGCCATTTCCTCAGCCTGAACTTCTCTTCATTTAGTCAATAACCCTTACTTGGCCCTAAAACTCAGTTAAAACCTTACCTCCTTCAGCAGCCTTCATCAACTTCTTTTCTTCCACTTCTATGCTTTCATGGCATCTTTTAAATTTTTTATGTCATAATTATGAACTTATTCACATATTTTTCACTATCTGCAAGATCCTTGTAAGGACATATATTCACCTTTCTTCTCTATCTCAGCTTTCAGAATAGTATAGACCTCAATAATGATTTTTGGCTGTTATTAAAGTTATTTCAAATTCAAGTAAAAGTCATAATACTATCAGATCTGGTTTCTATGACTCATTATAGATCTGTGCTACTTTGCTATCCTTTAGTTTCTATTGAAAGTCCTCCACAATGATATATTTATTCGGAAAACATTAGATTACTTTTCTAATAATTGGCAAGGGAAGAGGAGAGAACCCTAGGTAACAAAACTTTACTCTGATTTTAACAAGTAAACATAATATCGAAGTTGCCCATTTTATTAGTCAGTTCTCAATTATTCATAAATATAGGTTAATCTATAATACTCTAGGCCCTCTTCCTACTAGTGCTCAATAAAAACTGAACAACCCAGAAGCCAGGACTAGGCAGAAAAGTGGTATGCTATATCTGTGGGTGTGCATGTCAGTGTGGCAGGACAATTTATTAAGATTTTAATTTTCGGCCGGGCGCAGTGGCTCAAGCCTGTAATCCCAGCACTTTGGGAGGCTGAGGCGGGTGGATCACGAGGTCAACAGATCGAGACCATCCTGGTCAACATGGTGAAACCCCGTCTCTACTAAAAATACAAAAAAAAATTAGCTGGGCATGGTGGCACGTGCCTGTAATCCCAGCTACTCAGGAGGCTAAGGCAGGAGAATTGCCTGAACCCAGGAGGGAGAGGTTGCAGTGAGCCAAGATCACTCCAGCCTGGGTAACAAGAGAGAAACTCCGTCTCAAAAAAAAAAAAAGATTTTAATTTTCATTTGTTCTCTTCTTCTTTTCCCCTTTCCTCATTCTAAACAGGTAACCAGGTCTTCAGGTTCCATTATTTACAGAAGATGTGAGTTACGGAGTGTAAAGCAGAAGTTATTTGTAGATAATCTGCCTTTGAACTTTTATTTTCTGGAAGCTTAAGATAAAGGCAAAGCTTTGAGAATTGTAAGGGAGACAGGGGAATAACCTGCTAAACCCAACTTGTCCAAATTGGAAAAATGTGTAGCAACACCAGGGATAGTTGTGACCTGAACACTACTTCCTGGCTGTTCCCCAAGGAAATGACAAAACCTCAAAGAAGATGGCTACATGGAGTATCTTGGGAGCCTGGACTGTAGTTACTAGGGACTCATAATCAGCAGAGTTTCCCATGCCCAAGCTTGACCAGAAAGCAGTAATGTCATTAGACTTGAAGCATGAACTTTTTCAATAAGGGTTATCAGTCCATGATGGTGATAACTGCAGACAAGTCGGCCCATCTCCTACTTGTTTTCTTTTTTCCGAAAAGATTCTTAGGTTTTCCTGCTACTCTTGGATTGGAGAGGACCAAGGAAGGAAAGGAAGAAAGACATATTCTTTTCTATGTGTTCCCATAATGAATGATATAAATCTTTATTTTACTAGGTTGGGCAATTCAAAATCAGTTTTAATTTAATTTATAGGAAATAGGCCGGGTGTGGTGGCTCACATCTGTAATCCCAGCACTTTGGGAGGCTGAGGCGGGCAGATCACGAGGTCAGAAGATCGAGAACATCCTGGCCAACATGGTGAAACCCGGTCTTTACTAAAAAATACAAAAATTAGTTGGGCGTGGTGGCATGCACCTGTAGTTCCAGCTACTTGGGAGGCTGAAGCAGGAGAACTGCTTGAACCTAAGAGGCGGAGGTTGCCTGGCAACAGAGTGAGACTCTGTCTCAAAAAGAAAAATTTATAGAAAATAAAATAATTTTATATTTCTTGCACATATAAATTTGTGATGTTATCCAACTAAACATGACTATATGGATCTATATGTTTCTAATATACTTTAATAAATATTTTCCATGGTTCATTATTTATTATTTTTTGCTTCACAATGCCTATATTTGAAAGATTAAAATGTTGGTATTTTGAAAGACTAAGTTTTCCTTTTATTTTGAGAAAGAGTCTTGCTCTGTCACCCAGGCTAGAGTGCAGTGGTGCAGTCTCGGCTCACTGAAGCCTTTGCCTCCCAGGTTCAAGTGATTCTCCTGCCTCAGCCTCCTGAGTAGATGGGACTACAGGTGCATACCACTACGCCTGGCTAATTTTTGTATTTTTAGTAGAGACAGGGTTTCACCACGTTGAACAGGATGATCTTGAACTCCTGACCTCGTGATCTGTCCACCTTGGCCTCCCAAAGTGCTGGGATTACAGGTGTGAGCCACTGTGCCCGGCAGGATTAAGTTTTTTTTTTAAGCAAAACAATGATGGCAGTTGATTGTTACTGTCAGTAAGTTCATCATCAGAAGTATAATACTGCAAGATAAATTTATAATTTGGATTCAGGAACTGCAAACAAAGCATTAAAGGAGTCAGGAGAAAAAGCAATCTCATGAACTGTTCCCTAGGAAGGCCTATCCATAGACAGAGACAAATGACTTCTGTGGGAAATGCTTCACATCCCACACGCTAGATTAAATAAATGATACTTAATGGGCATATTTTATTCTAAAAAAAAATTGGTGAAGGATCCCTAGCATCCTAAATCCACTCATACAATGCAGCATAGCTGGTTTAGCTGACGAACTTATAAAGGAAAAAAAAACCCAGACATTTATCTTCCTTTTTTTCTCCCACAAAGATCTATAACAAACTTTAGATTGACTGCAACCCTATCTTAGCAGTAAGAATGAAAAAAAATTCTTACACCCTCATAACAGTCTGAAATTTCCAACCAGCATTAAACTATGAAGACATAGAGCTACTTCTATAACTCTATATACATATCTATTATTTTCTCATTTCTTCTCCTTTTCCTCACTTTCCATAATTTAGAACATTCTTTTAATCTTTATTACTAATGTATAATACAATCAGTAGTCTGAAATATTAAGCTACATTACAGAACAGAAATTTTTAGCTGTTATAATTATATTTTAATTTTTCATATTCTATCTTTATTATTATTTTTTGAAATAGAGTCTCACTCTGTTGTCCAGGCTGGAGTGCAGTGGGGCCATCTTAGCTCATTGCAACCTCTGCCTCCTGGATTAAAGTGATTCTCCTGTCTCAGCCTCCTGAGTAGTAGAAACTACAGGCGCATGCCACCATGGCCAGCTAGTTTTTGTATTTTTAGTAGACATGAGGTTTCACCATGTTTGCCAGGCTGGTCTCAAACTCCTGATCTCAAGTGATCCACCTGCCTTGGCCTCCTAAAGTGCTGGGATTACAGGCCTGAGCCACTGCACCCAGCCCATTTTTTATTTTTTAATAGAACACCTCAGTAGTTATGTAATCAAAAAATGCAATGTAATTTGTTCAAAAGGGGAAGAACATTGATAGTTTAGTTTCCTGACTATTGATCAAAGTCAAGGCAGTGGCTCATGTTGATCACATTGACAATTTTTTATGGTGATGATATTTCTAGTGAATATTTTCCCCCTTGATTAAACAACATCAAACTTTGAAAAAGAACCAAGATTTGAAGAGATTAGATAAGCATACAGCAGAAAAATACATGCATTCATTCCCAAAATGTCAAGCATGCTGTGGCATGATGGGGTGGTAAAAGCCTGGATTTTGGAATCAAATTGCTTGGATCTGCTACATACTAGCTATGTGATTTGGGCAGGTCACCTTATCTCTCTGTGTCTTAGTTTCCCAATCTGTAAAACAGGGAAAATAATATTTATCTCACAGGATAGTTGTGAAGTACGTATTTATATTTGGTACTTAGAATAATATCTGGCACACTACATGCCCTATAGAATAAAGTTCAAGATGAGCATAACCTAGATTCAGCAATCCACTCCCAAGCATAACTAGAGAAAATTTACATATGTGCATAAGAAGACATTAACAAGAATATTCATTGCCACGTTGTTTGTAATAGCCCCAAACTGGAACAAAACAACATCAATAAGGAAACAGGTTAAAGAAACTATAGTACAGGCATACCTCAAAGCTACTGTGGGTTCAGCTCCAGATTACCACAATAAAACAAATATTGCTTTATTGCAAAATAAAAATATTACAACAAAGTGAGTTGTACAAACATTATGGTTTCCCAGGGCATATAAAAGTTATGTTTACATTATACTATAGTCTATTAAGTGTACAACAGCATGATGTCAAAAAAATTGCACATACCTTAATTTAAAAGTATTTTATTGCTAAAAAATGCTCACAATCTTCAGAGTGTGATAAGCTTTTTGCTGGTGGAAGGTCTTGCTTCCAAATTGATGGCTGCTTACTGATCAAGGTGGTGATTGCTGAAGGTTGCAGTGACTGTAATAATTTCTTAAAATGAGACAACGGGCCAGGTGGGGTGGCTCACACCTGTAATCCCAGCACTTTGGGAGGCTGAGGCAGGTGAATCATGAGGTCAGGAGTCCCAGCTACTCACTAGGCTAAAGCAAGAGAGAACCGCTTGAACCTGGAAGGTGGAGGCTGCAGTGAGCTGAGATTGCACCACTGTACTCTAGCCTGGGGGACAGAGTGAAGACTCCGCCTCAAGAAAAAAAAAAAAAAGAGACAGACAACAATGAAGTTTGCCACACCTATTGACTCTTCCTCATAAAAGATTTCTCTGTAGCATACAGTGCTGGTTGACAAAATTTGGCCCACAATTGAACTTTCAAAATTGGAGTCAATCCTCTCACATGCTGTCACTGCTTTATCAACGAATTTTAGCCCTTACCTACTAAACTTCTGCAACCAACCACTTTACAGGGTTTTCCCCTGTCTGTTAATTTTACAGAAGCCTACCCACTGCACTCCAGGCTGGGCAACAAAAGTGAAACTCCATCTCAAAAAAAAATTTTTTTTTAAAATTTAATTTCAACTATGTGTTAGTCCCTGTGTTGATCACTAAGGATACAGAGGTAAATGAGAAAAGTCCCTGTCGTTATGGAGCTCACAGTCTTAATAATCTAGGCAAAGAATTAACACAAAATGTGAAAAATATTGTAAAAGACATGTACCCAGGGATATGAGATCATACTCAATGACTATTTAAGAGAGCTGGAGGATGGGCGCGGTGTCTCACGCCTATAATCCCAGCACTTTGGGAGGCCGAGGCGGGTGGATCATGAGGTCAAGAGATTGAGACCATCCTGGGCAACATGGTAAAACCCCGTCTCTACTAAAAATACAAAAATTAGCTGGGCATGGTGGTGAGCGCCTGTAGTCCCAGCTACTCGGGAGGCTGAGGCAGAAGAATTGCTTGAACCCAGGAGGCAGAGGTTGCAGTGAGCCGAGATCGTGCCATTGCACTCCAGCCTGGGTAACAACAGCAAAACTCCGTCTCAAAAAAAAAAAAAAAAAAAAAAAAAAGAGAGCTGGAAACAGTTTCTGAGATAGGATAACATATCTAAGCAGGGAGCTGAATAGTTAGAATACAGATGTATTCTGTTAAAAAGATAGAACAGACAGAAAAGAGATTAAAATGCATTCCAGGCAGGAATGAAAAAAAAGTCATGTATGTATATGTGTGTATGTTTATATGCACACATAAATACAGTTGATCCTCATTATGTGCAAGGTCTATATTTGCAAATCCATAGTCACTAAAATTTATTTGTAACCCCAAAGTCAATACTTTCACAGTCATTTATGGACACGTACAAAGTGGCAAAAAATTTGATTTACCTGAAGCACACACTCCCAGCTCAGGTCAAACAAAGTGATGTTTGTTCTGTCTTTTTATTTCAGGTCTCAGGGTGTCCTTTTCTCACTCTCCTTCATGCTGTTTTTCACATTTTTATGCTTTGTGCTAGTAATTTTGATGTTTACAATGGTCCCTATGCATAATGCTGATATGTTACCTAGTATTCTAATGCATAAGAAGATTATGAGGTGCCTTATGAAAAACATAGTCATGTTAAACAACCTTAACTCTTACTAGGAGCAATGCTTCTATATTCACTGATTCAGTGTTTGTAATAACTTTACAGAACCTAACTACTGTAAATTGAGAAGCAACTGTATGTGTGTTTATTTACTAATTAACAAATGTTTCTTTGAATACAATTTATTTATAGGAACCACTGATTACTTTGATTAGATATATATAGCATATTGCCTCATCCTGAATAAGTAATGAATAATCAACTATACTGAAGATAACTGACAGTTTCTTACGCATAGCTTTTAAAACCATCACTTCAAGAACAAGCATAGTATTATGAGGTATTTTGAGGTTTCTAGTAAGGGCAGTAACATCTCACATAAAGATAACTATATATTTGCAACCACATAAGAGTAAGGTAGAAATTTACAGAACTAGATATGGCATAATTTTACCAATTGAGCATTTCTACTAAGTATAATTGCGAATAGTGGCAAAAGCAGTATAGTAAAAACTGCAGTAGAAAAAAATCTAAAATTATTTTTAAAAAGGTTTCCTCATCAATGAACAGAATTGAACCATCATTTTCCAAAAATGATTCCAATAAGCAAATACCATATAAACTCCCACACACACATTTGCTTATTATAATGAAAAAGACGCAGGTAATATCCTTAAGCAGCTAAGTTGGTATAAGGTTAATCTTCATAGAAAAGTAGAATAAGCAAGTTATACAATTTAATATTAGGTCTTGATAAAGACTTTTTAACATTAACACTTCCATTATAATTATTCTAATAACTTTGAAAAATATAATTCAAAATTTCGCATTTCCTTTACATTAAAATAGAGAAAATGAAAAAAAGAAATGAACTTAAAAGAACACATAGACCCTGAAGTCATGATTGAGAATGATGTTATAAATCCATACCTGTTTAAAATGTTAAATTTTAAATTCATAATGACACTTTTCCTATCTCTTGCTGAATGGTCTGTACCTCTTAAATGACATTCAACTATCTAATAATTAAGAGCTAGGCCAGGCGCAGTGGCTCACACCTGTAATTTAAGCACTTTGGGGGAGGCCAAGGCGGGTGAATCACCTGAGGTCAGGAGTTCAAGACCAGCCTGATCAACATGTTGAAACCCTGTCTTTAAAAAAATAAATAGCTGGGCGCGGTGGCTCAAGCCTGTAATCCCAGCACTTTGGGAGGCCGAGGCGGGTGGATCACGAGGTCAAGAGATCGAGACCATCCTGGTCAATATGGTGAAACCCCATCTCTACTAAAAATACAAAAAATTAGCCGGGCATGGTGGTGCATGCCTGTAATCCCAGCTACTCAGGAGGCTGAGGCAGGAGAATTGCCTGAACCCAGGAGGCGGAGGTTGCGGTGAGCTGAGATCGCCTCATTGCACTCCAGCCTGGGTAACAAGAGCGAAACTCCATCTCAAAAACAATAAATAAATAAAACAAACAAACAAACAATAAAAATTAAAAATTAAAAAAAAGAGCTACATATTATGCATTTTAAATATCCATTTGTAGTTTTGGAAGATAACTATCAGAAACTGATGAGGTTGGCAATGCCAAAAGTTTTTTGCTGATTTCAAATTCTATTTTAAAACATAGGAAATAAATGAGGGTAAAAATCATTGTTTTAAAGAGAAGAGTCCCAAAGAGAACAAGACATCAATATTCCATAACACAAGAAAAAAATAAAAAGAGAAGTTTTCATTGTATGTATAGTGCATAATTGTAAAGCCAGTTCAATGGATACCATTTACTTATAGCCAATGCTTAAATTTGTATCTTATAGTCAGACCTCTCTTCTGAACTTCAGGTTCTTATATCCAGTCATACATGCTCAATATTTCCTCTTGAATAGCCACCACAATCTTAAGCATCTAAAACCAATCTCTTGATTTTTCCCTTTAAGCTTGTTCTTCTCCATCTTAGTAAGTGGCAATTCCATTCTTCCAGTTGCTCAAGTCAAAATCTTTTATCCTTCCTTGATTCTTCTCTTCTCATACACTATGTAAACAAATCCTATTGTTTCTTCTCTCAAAATATATCCAGAACCTGACCACTATGACTGCTTCCAAGACTACTTCCTGCTCTAAACATCATTTCTCACCTGGACAACTAACTACTACCAATTATTTCCCCTTTTCTACCTTCTTTCCTCATACAGAACCCAGAGTGATCCATTAAAAATGCAGATCAGATCATGTCCTTCCTCTGCTCAAACCTTCTCTTGCCTTCCCATCTCATTCAGGGAAAAATTCAAAATCCTGACCATGGCTTACAAGACCCTACTCAATGTAAAACCTCTGATTTTGTTCCCTAACACTATTCTTTCACTTTTGCTTCAAGTCATACAAATCTCTCTGCCATTCCTCAAACCTGCTGAGCATTCTCTTACCTGTCTCTATACTTACTGATTCCCCTGCCTCAAAAATTTTTCACCTAGATAGCTACATCATTCATGCTTTCACTTATTTCAGATCTCTACTTTTAAGAATAAAAATCAGATCTCTACTTAACCTTACCAGAGAGCCTTTCCCTGATTATCTTATTAAAAAACAGCAAACTCCTATGCACCTCCACCTCATTCCTCAAAAAGAGAAGTCTTCTTGGTTTTTGTTCACTGTTGTAATCCTAGAAACAGTACCTAGCATATAAAAGGTACTCACAAAGATTTGGTGAGTTAATGAATGAAACAAATTCAAATACAGTAATTATCTTTAAAAGAAGGTCTCACTTATGAGGTCAACAAAGCTAATCTCCATAAATTAAAAGCTATAGGAATTTTGTTTAAATTTGCTAGCTAGGATGCACAGAATTTTATATATGTGGTGGTCACATTTTTAGCCTCAGGCAACTAACTTGCTTTCTGTCTCCATAGATATGCTTTTTTTTTTTTTTTTTTTTTTTTTTTTGAGACAGAGTCTTGCTCTGTCACCAGGCTGGAGTGCAGTGGCACAATCCTGGCTCACTGTAACCTCCGCCTCCTGGGTTCAAGTGATTCTTCCACCTCAGCCTCCTGAGTAGGGACCACAGGCATGTGCCACGATGCCTGGCTAATTTTTTGTATTTTTAGTAGAGATGGGGTTTCACCATGTTGGCCAGGATGGTCTTGATCTCTTGATCTCGTGATCCACCTGCCTCGGCCTCCCAAAGTGCTGGGATTACAGGCATGAGCCACCGTGCCCGGCCCCATAGATATGCTCTTTCTGAACCTTTCGTATGTAATCTTCTGCATGTGGCTCTTTCACTTAGCATAGTATTTTTGAAGATCATAGATATTGAAGCATACATTGTTTGTTCTTTTTAATTGCTTAGTAATATTCCACTGTATGGATGTTTAGAGTGTACCAAATAGACCTTATCTTTCTTGTGTGTCAGAGAAGAGGAATCCTCAATTAATGCAAGTAATTCAAGCTAGCAAAGGGAAAAGGGGAAGAAAAAGAAAATGGAATTATGGCTGAGTGAAGTCTGTTTCTAGCAGAGACAAGGAAAGTCAAGCTCCAGTACATTAAGCATAGGTAGAGGAACCTGGCCTGGCTGTGGGAATTCAAACTCTTTCCATTGGATTCTATGACCTGAGTTTGTTCATTACCACTTGCTTGTTACAAAGAGGAGGGTGTGGTCATGGCAGCCATACATCTATATGAAGAAATCTGACCTACTTTTTCCAGGTGTATTAGGGAATGCCAGCCACTCATTATAAAAATTACTGTGTAGTTAAGGCTGGGTGTGGTGGCTCATGCCTGTAATCCCAGCACTTTGGGAGGCAGAGGCAGGTGGATCGCCTGAGGTCAGGAGTTCGAGATTAGCCTGACCAACATTGTGAAACCCTGTCTCTACTAAAAATATAAAAAATTAGCCAGGCATGGTAGCAGGCACCTGTAATCCCAGCTACTCAGGAGGCCAAGGCAGGAGAATCACTTGAACCCAGGAGGTGGAGGTTGTGATGAGCCGAGATTGTGCCACTGCACTCCAGCCTAGGCAATAAGCACGATATTGCATCTCAAAAAGAAAAAATAGTATAGTTAAATGCAATGATAAAATATTTTAAAATAACATTTATCTGATGACTTCTGTCAAAAAGGAAAGGAAGATCAAGCATATGTATTTCTCTGCTCCCATAATAAAATGATGGCAACATAATTTAAAAGGTTTAATTCCTCAAGGACAATCAAACACAAGAGAATACATGGTATTTTTTACAGTGGATAACACATTTTTAGAAAAGGGAGAGCAAATCGAGGAGTGGTATCTCATTTATTACAGTGGAAGAAGCTATAACCTCAGGAAATTGCAAAGGGGGACAATAGTGAGAAGTCAATTTACCCACAAAGAATCTGGGAAAGCTCTGACCTTGGAAGTACCAAGTGGGTAAAGAGGAAGCACAAAGTGAAAACCCAGGATAAGAGTCTGTATATGTGAACAGTTGATTCTCCTCCCTGTTCCCATGCATAGAATGCCAGTGGCTAAGTGCATACACCCCAAACTTGGTGGGGGAATGACAGTTTGACCTCTAGAGAAATTGAAGAGGGGTGTTCCAGACTTGAGGACACTAGGCAGAATAGAGAGCAGAGGTAGGACAGATAAATAGAAAAATAAGGGATTTCTTGAAATACCAAAGGGTGGGACTTAATTCCTTTACCCAGTCTCCCACTCTACCCTACCAGTGACCTGAAACACATGTACTTTATTGCCCAGAAGAGAAACTGTAAGTCTTTTTGGAGGCACTGCACAATCTGAGAGAAAGGTCCTCTTCATAATAATTATGTCCATCCTAACACCCAAAAGTAAGGCTTATTTCTTACTTACTCCACAATTAGTTTTATTCCTGAAGAGCTTTTAATAAATTTAAAATAAATATGTACAAACTACCAAAGGTCATCATTGAACATGTGAGTAAATTCCTTAACATGAAAGATTAAAATCAGATGTTAAAAGAGCTATTTGATATTTAAAATAAGATTGTTAAAATGAGACATTAAACAGAGGTTACAATAATCCCCAGGAAAGTATAACTACACGTAAGATTAAAAGTATGAAAGAAAAATAGGATACTTCAAGGATTAATCTAAGGAGGTTAATATTTTACTAGCAGGAGTTCCAGGAAAGACAGAGAAAAGAGAGGAAATAAAATATTAATAATGAATATTTATTAAGGGTATACTATGTGCAAGGCATTGCTCTAAGTCCTTTACATAAGTTAATTTTAGTTATTTGGTCACCTTACAAAGTAGGTATTATCCCCCATGTTACGGATGAGGAAAATAGGAATGTAGAGGTAATGGCTAATGGCTAGTAAGTGGCAGAATCAGAGTTCAAACTCTGATTGAGTCTGGTGCTATAACTCACAGTCTCAACTATTATGAACTGCAGCCTCTCTATCAAAGAAATAACATAAGAGACTCACAGGGTAAGAGGGCAGATTTAATATGTATATTCAATATACTCCTTTCAGAAACTCTACTAAAACAAAAATTATGGCAAATCTTAAGATACATAATCCAAAGGGTAACGAGGAAAAGAGAAGAAGAAAAAAAGCAACAGATTTTTATAAATCAGAAAGTAGATGACAGAGTGGTAACTGACTTAGCAGACCAGAGAGAGCCAAGTCCTAAACTGGCAGTGAGGAAAGCTGAGTGAGCCAAGTCTTAAACTGGCAGTGAGGAAAGCATTATATACCACAGAATCTTCTAAAGGCATAAGAATTGGCAAGATTATCGACCTGTAGAACTAGGGGTAAGTGGGGAGTGGAATGGATAAAATAAGAAAAATTGGATGAAAGACATTTAAGAAGCTGTTAGATCCTTAGATTTCCTTCCTCCATTCCACATCTCCAGGTGACCTTCTCTCCCTAACAAATCAATCATGTCAGAGGTTTGCACCTTATTCCCTGGAGAGGATAAAATGACATCCCTTGATTAGAAGACACCAGGTACAGTTGAGGACACAGGTATTATTCTGAATAACAAGGAGACTAAGTGACCCTATGCACAGGTGAATGCTGAATTCTAGGATCAGAAGCCCTCTTCTTCCTCTCTACTGGGTTGAAGCCAGAAGGTTACCTAACAAATGTTCTAACCAGGTCATCCTACAGTAAAACTCAAAATCTACAAGTCCCATCCATGTCCTTAGGCTTCCCAATTGGCTTTTATTAACCTATCCTTACTTAAGAACAGACAGCTAAGAATTACTAGATACCTAAAGAAAGCCTGTATTTGGAATATAGAGACCAAAATTAACAAAAGAAAAGAAAGCAATCTGGTAGAAAGGAAGTATGCAAGCAGAAAAAAACATTAGGGAAAAAAATTATTTCCAAGAGATACCTGTAACAAACAAAATAAGAAAAAAAAAACATTCAGCACACAAAAAGTCTCTCTCTGTTGCCTAGGCTAGAGTTCAATGGCACGATCTCGGCTCACTTCAACCTCTGCCTCCTGGGTTCAAGTGATTCTCCTGCCTCAGCCTCCCAAGTAGCTGGGACTACAAGTGCACACTGCCACACCTGGCTAATTTTTGTACTTTTTTTTTTAGTAGAGACAGAATTTCACCATATTGGTCCGGCTGGTCTTGAACTCCTGACCTCGTAATCCACCTGCCTTGGCCTCCCAAAGTGCTGGAATAGAAAAAGTGCGTGAGTAGAAAAACTTTTATAAATTGTAAATGTAATAACAAAAAATGAAAATCTTAAGAGAAGAAAGTTGAGGAAATCTCAAAAAGAACAGAGTAAAACAGAAAAAGAGAAAAAATAGGAGAGGAGAATATCAGAGAATTTTGATGATAAACAGAAAACCTTAATTGTCCATCAGTGCAGTATGGGTAAGTAAACCTCTGTGGAACATTATGAAGTGGTTATTTTAGTTAAATAGTAGTACTGCTACAGAAAGACCTCTACATTTCATTAACTGAAAAACAATGCATGCCAGGCCCTATGGCTCACGCCTATAATCCCAGCACTTTGGGAGGCCAAGGCGGGTGGATCACTTGAGGTCAGGAGTGAGACCAGACTGTCTAACATGGTGAAACCCCATCTCTACTAAAAATATAAAAATTAGCCAGGTGTGGTAGCACACGCCTGTAATCCCAGCTATTCGGCAGGCTGAGGCAGGAGAATAGCTTGAACCCAGGAGGCAGAGGTTGCAGTGAGCTGAGATCGCGTCATTGTATTACAGCCTGGGCAACAAGAGTAAAACTCCATCTCAAAAAAACAAAAAATGCAAGATGCTAAAAATATAGACAGTATGACCCCACTTATATGAAAGGGGGAAAATCCCCCTGCAAACCATATGTTTCTTTATATAGAAATTAGTATGTAAATATACAGAAAAAGATTTTGAATGAAACATCAAAGTAACGATTTCTGGAGAGGAGAATAAGATAGAAGAGGAAAGGAAAAAGGTAACACTTTGCTTTTTATTATATTTCTCTTTTTTTTTTTTTGGTTTGAGACAGGGTCTCACTATGTCACCTTGGCTGTAGTGCAGTGACAGGATCATGGCTCACTGCAGCTTTAACCTCCCTGGACTCAGACGATCCTCCCACCTCAGCCTCTCAAGTAGCTGGGACTATAGGTACAGGCCACCAATCCAGGCAATTTTTCTTTTTTTGAGACAGGGTCTGGCTCTGTCACTCAGGCTGAAATGCAGCGGCACAGTCTCGGCTCACTGCAACCTCTGTCTCAGGCTCAAGCCATCCTCCTACCCTAGCCTCCTGAGTAGCTGAGACTACAGGTGCACCATCACACTTGGCTATTTTTTATATTTTTTATAGAGATGGGGTTTTGCTATGTTGCCCAGGCTGGTCTCAAACTCTTGGGTTCAAGGAGATCCACCTGCCTCAGCCTCCCAAAGTGCTGGGATTACAGGCATGAGCCACTGAGCCCAGCCTCCTATATTTCTATTTTTGGAAATTTTTGCAATTAAAGTGTTTTCTTTTCTTTCTTTCTTTCTTTCTTTCTTTCTTTTTTTTTTTTTGAGATGGAGTTTCGCTCTTGTTACCCAGGCTGGAGTACAATGGCGTGATCTCAGCTCACCGCAACTTCCTCCTCCTGGGTTCAGGCAATTCTCCTGCCTCAGCCTCCTGAGTAGCTGGGATTACAGGCACGCACCACCATACCCAGCTAATTTTTTGTATTTTTAGTAGAGATGGGGTTTCACCATGTTGACCAGGATGGTCTCGATCTCTTGACCTTGTGATCCACCCACCTCGGCCTCCCAAAGTGCTGGGATTACAGGCGTGAGCCACCGCGCCTAACTAAAGTGTTTTCATGTATGACACTTGTGTATGTTTTAAAAGAAAAAGAAGGAAAGGGGAAAATGGAAAGCAGAAAAAAAAGGATTGGTATAATCTCTGGAAAGGAAGTGATTATTATCCTTAATTAGGATTATAGAAACAATGCAAGACTAAACAAAACAAAACAACAATCACTTTACTTGCTGTGTAACATTCTACTTGCTGAGTAGACAAAGTTACCTCTAAAAAACTTAACACAGAATAAAATATATAGGAAATAAACATTGTATGTTGTTTGTATATATTACTGACATATACATAAACTTAGGTATCACAAGTTGTGGACCATCACCAGCTTAAAAAAAAAAATTACTTGAGCTCAGGAGTTTGAGACCATCCGAGGCAATATGGCAAAATCCCAATATACCAAAAAGAATTACCCAGGAGTGGTGGCATGTGCCTGTGGTCCCAGCTACTCATGAGACTGAGGTGGGAGGATAAGCTGAGCCCTGGATGTAGAGGCTGCAGTGAGCTGAGATCATGCCACAGCACTCCAGCCTGGGTGACAGAGTAAGATTCTGTCTCAAAACAAACTATTTTCAACAGAATCAGAAGAAAAATTTTATCCTTACAATTATACTTCTTAAGAAGTCTGTGATTATAGCCAAAATATTACATACATGTTCAGGAGATATCATCAGATTTTTCTTGAAAGATTGTTTCAGACTCTCACTGCTCTATTCTGGTAAAGTTCTTATGTTTATACATCTTAGGTGTAAAATTCTGCAGGAAACTTCATATTCCAAATCCTTTCAAGAAAACATGAATCTTCCATTTAAGCTGAAGGAGTTAAAAATGTATCACTAAGACATATTGACTACTTTGAATTAAAGGCACTTGAAAAACAGCAGGTGCAAAAAGATCATCCTAACCTGTTTTCTGTTTTCTAAAAGCAGGAGATGAAATTCCTATGTGAAAGATACCCTCACTATACCAAAAGGAATAACATCCTTATCCTCAAGGATGAAGTTGAGACCAAAAGAATTCTGTACAGACCTTGTTAAAATAACTCTTCTCTTTTAAGCCTCCCCACACAATTTAGCTGCTTTTTCACAGCTACTATTTTTGTCCAATTCAGTATATCAATGACTGACTTTAACTGCTTCTTTGGGTCTTCATTTCCTTACGAGAGCTCCCATGCCATGTAAAATGTGTATTAAATAAATTTGTATGTTTTTCTCCAGTTAATGTCTTATGTCAATTGAATTCTCAGGCCCAGCTGGAACCCTAAGAGGATGGAAGTGGAGTTTTGCCAGTCCTACAAAGCCCAAGGGTTCTGGAAATACGTGTACAGATAAAGTTGAAGCCCAAATATTTTAAAAGTTAGTTTATGTCAGCACCTAATCTTTTTTTCCTAAATGATATCCTAGTTTTAGGTTTTAACTTCATGGTCAAAACTACAGAGTTAACAATTAGTCAAACACAGTGGTACACACCTGTAGTTCAAGGTACTACGGAAGCTGAGGTAGGAGAATTGCTTGAGTCCAGGCGTTTGATCAAGTTTAATCCGGAAATATAGTGAGACCATGTTTTTTATATATACATACAATATTATACTTATAATACTGTATATATACTTATAATACTGTATATAACATTATATACAATTTAATATTATATATAATATTGTATATATGTTGTATTTATATTATTATATTTGTAACATTATATATATGTATTATTATTTTTATTTTTAAATTTTTTTCTCTTTCATCACCTATTCAAAGAATAAATATTGTATATATGTATGTGGAGATAATAAGGTACTACAAGTAGCCTTTTGTTTCAAAGTTACTAAAAATAATATATGTGGTCAGGTGCAGTGGCTCACACCTATAGTCCCAGCACTCTGGGAGGCCGAGGAGGGCAGATCATGAGGTTAGGAGTTAAAAACCAACATAGCGAAACCCTGTCTCTACTAAAGATACAAAAAAATAGCCAGGTGTGGTGGCAGGTACCTGTAATCCCAGCTACCTGGGAGGTTGAGGCATGAGAATCACTTGAATTCAGGAGACAGAGGTTGCAGTGAACTGAGACCATACCACTGCACTCCAGCCTGGGCAAAAGAGCAAGACTCTATCTAAAAAACTGTATGTAAGGCTGGGCGTGGTGGCTCACACCTGTAATCCAAGCACTTTGGAGGCCAAGGCGGGTCAATCACCTGAGGTCGGGAGTTCAAGACCAGCCTGACCAACATGGTGAAACCCCGTCTTAAAAAAAGAAAGAAAGAAATAGAAAAAAAAAAAAACTGTATGTGTGTATGTGTCTGTGTGTGTGTGTGTGTGTGTGTGTGTGTATGTTCCTAATTCTGTGAGCAAACACTTTGATGCTTTGATGTGCATTCTGTGATACAGAATATGCAATTAAGATCCTTCTCTAAAAATTCTATTCAATATAGAGTAAACTGACTAGTCTAAAGACTAAAATACCTTTATTCTAAAAAAAAAAAAAAATACTAAAATGCCTCCTAGTTGTCAAATTCTAGTGTCTGGATTATTGCAGAGACATCCTACTGTCATCTCTAGCAAAAGTCCTGAAGGACAAAAGGAGGAAAAACACATGGCAAGGTGAGGAAAATAAAATCATTAAAGTTTGACATCTCTTTTGGATAATTTATTAGTTTCATATTACCATGTCTTAATCTAGTAACAAAATTCAACTGAATTACTTAAAAAAGAAATGAATTAAACATCATCCTTTATTTTGTTCCCTAAATTAGAACAGCAAAAGTTAGTTTTCTTTAGAATTTTCTAGGCTATATTTTATAGCACTCTAAACTAACTTTCCAATTCATAAAATATTCTTAGCTTTTAAATGATCATCTATTCTGGCCGGGCATGGTAGCTCATGCCTGTAATTCCAGCACTTTGGGAGGCCGAGGTGGAAGGATCACCTGAGGTCAGGAGTTCAAGACCAGCTTGGCTAACATGGTGAAACCCTGTTTCTACTAAAAATATAAAAAATTAGCCAGGTGTGGTAGCATAGGCCTGTAATCCCAGCTATTCGGGAGGCTGAAACAGGAGAATTGCTTGAAGCTGGGAGGCGGAGATTGTAGTGAGCCAAGATGGCACTATTCCACTCCAGCTTGGGCAACAAGAACAAAACTTCTCAAAAAAAAAAAAAAAAAAATCATCTATTCTATATTTGCCATTTGTTTCTTTCCCCTAGATGGCAGATTAAGTTTTTTTTTCCTGAATTTAGTAAACTGATGGCTTACTTGACATTTATCACTAAAAATACAAACAACTAATGTAAAGACATTCTTTCCTTATTTGAAAGTTTAGTCACAAGACGTTATTTCCCCTTACATGCTTTTATTTTTTATTTTCTTATTTTTATTTTCTCCTTTTCCTTTTTTGTTTTTTTTTTTATGGTGGGGGGGTGCTTGGAGCAGAAGATTTGCAGACTCTGGGCAGTCACAGGCTCCGGCCTATTTTTTACTTTTCAATTTTTATTTATTTATTTATTTTTGGAGACAGAGTCTCCCTCTATTGCCAGGCTGGAGTGCAATGGCACTATCTCAGCTCACTGCAACCTCTGCCTCTAGGGTTCAAGCAATTCTCCTGTCTCAGCCTCCCCAGTAGCTGGGACTACAGGCGCACACTACCACGCCCAGCTAATTTTTGTATTTTCAGTAGAGACAGAGTTTCACCATTTTGGCAAGGATGGATTTGAACTCCTGACCTCATAATCCGCCTGTCTCAGCCTCCCAAAGTGCTAGGATTACAGGCGGGACCCACTGAGCCTCCTTTATTCTTTTTAAATAGAACCATAGCTTATATTACTTTTTTACTTTTTAAATAACAGCTTCACTGAGATATAATTCACATATCAAATTCTTATTATTTATGGATCCTCTTACCATAATCCCTGTTTCAGCTATCACCTAACTATTCAAAGAAAATCTTTCTCATTGTTCCATTTGTGAGCTATTAACCTCAAGAATAGTAATGCATTTGCAAAAGATAGTGGAGAGTTTTGATAAAAAATTAGAAAGTTTCTGAAGTTAGTTTGAATGTATCCAGAAGTTCTCTTTAGAATTTCCATACAAGTTTCCCAATCCTGTGATTCAAACTACCTGCTTTCCTTAAATTGCCAGCATTAAAACAGGCCTAGCATGTGGCTCATGCCTGTAATCCCAGCACTTTGGGAGGCCGAGGCAGGCAGATCACAAAGTCAAGAGATCAAGATCATCCTGGCCAAAATGGTGAAACCCCATCTCTATTAAAAATACACACATTACCTGGGCATGGGGGTGCATGCCTGTAGTCCCAGCTACTATGGAGGCTGAGGCCTCAAGGAGAATCTCTTGAACCCGGGAAGTGGAGGTTGCAGTGAGCCAAGATCGCACCACTGCACTCCAGCCTGGTGACAGAGCGAGACTCAGTCTCAAAAATAAATAAATTTAAATTTAAATTTAAAAATCTTTAAAACAAATCTTTATTGCTCACTACTCTGTGGGTTAAAAATACTTTTGTGGACTAGCCTATTAACCTACCATTTGTAACTCTTTCTATGGAAAAATATATCAAAAATTCTAAAATACATTTTTTTTTTTGAGGCGGAGTCTCTCTCTGTTGCCAGACTGGAGTGCAAAGGCACGATCTCAGCTCACTGCAACATCTGCCTCCAGGGTTGAAGCGATTCTCTGGCTTCAGCCTTGTGAGTAACTGGGACTATAGGCACGCACCACCATGCCCAGCTAATTTTTGTACTTTTACTAGCAACAGGGTTTCACCATATTGGCCAGGATGGTCTCAATCTCTTGACTTCGTGATCCATCCACCTCAGCCTCTCAAAGTGTTGTAATTACAGGTGTGAGCCACTGTGCCCAGCTAAAATTTTAAAACAAACTTTTAGAATATAATTTGTTTGGAAATTGCAGGTTTTTGTAAATACGGAGCAGAAAACTCCTAGCAATCTATAAACCACTGTAAAGATGTATTTGTCTCTTTGGTGGGGAACTGATAAATTTTGAAACATAATATGTGAGTCAGCTATCTTCTGAAAAATAGAAATTAAAGAAGAAAATTTTAAAAGCAATATCTTATTTTCCTTTTTCCTCTCTTTAAGGAAACCTTATTCTTTTCATGAAGAAAAAACTCCACTTTACCTAAGGATGTACTATGCAAATAGTTTTATTACACTGTAAAATCTTAAAGCAAAACATTTTATGTCTATTTGAAATAGACATTCTTATTATCATTTGAATTTAAGAAATAATACCATAGATTTTAGAAATGCTAAGTAACTACTTAATTCAGCATGCACATTTGTTATCCAACAGGTATATTTTATACAACCACTTCCTGGAAACATCTAATAATAATTTTACAAGTTCTTGTTTGCTACTTTCCCAATATTATAATGTCTTAATTATCTTCAGTCTTCTGATTTACTATCAGTTTCTAATTTACCATTCCATAAATAAAAGTTTAAGTTTTAATTCCTTACATTTCAGGAAGAGGATTAGAAATAACAAGTAGCTATAAATAAATCTTTAGTTTGCCAGTATTTCCATTTCCTATATCAAAAAACACATGTTTATGTCATTATAGCAGATTTCAAAATATCACTCTCAGGTTACAGAATTCCCTAGTAATTGACATTTTAGTTACCTTCAAGAAAGTAAAAAAACTAAAAGAAATATAGAGATTAAATATAGAAAAATGCTGCCTAATCTACTGAGAAAATTAAGGCTATAGTCATCTGCCTAGTAATAAAAGAAAATACTCTAAAACCCAATTAAAAAGTTAAAGATAATACAAATATAACTACTTTAAAAATTAATCAAGATACCCCTCCCTCTCACGCCCAGGATGCCGGGTCCACCCTCAAGAGGACCCCCACCTAGGAAAAAAAAAATTTAACCAAGATCATAAAAATCTTATCTATGTTCAAATAGAAATTTTGCTTCCTTGGAGATGAAATTTTATAGAACATGCTATAAATTTCAGATGTATTACCATTGAATGAATGGCATTTTATGTTCTTCCTTAAGGCAAAAACAAAATTTTAGAAGGAAATAAAAATTATGGTCATAATACATTTAAATCACAAACCATAGTACTCATCATGCAGTCAGTGTAACTGACACCATATCTAACATTCAGGCACCAGAAAAACATAAACCCTTTTTGTTGTTTTGTTTTGTTTTCCAAGACAGAGTCTGGCTCTGTCACCAGGCTGAAGTGCAATAGTGCAATCTCGGCTCACTGCAACCTCTACGTCCTGGGTTCAAGTGATCCTCCTACCTTAGTCTCCCAAGTAGCAGGGGCTACAGGTACATGCCACCATGCCCAGCTCATTTTTTGTATTTTTAGTAGACATAGGGTTGGCCAGCATGGTCCCTATCTCTTAACCTTGTGATCTGGCCACCTCAGCCTCCCAAAGTGCTGGGATTACAGGTGTTAGCCACCTTGCCTGGTCTATAAACTCTTTTCATCCTTTGAAGTGATGTAAAGTCATTGATACTCCACGAAGTCATCCTTTTCAGATGAAGTCTTCCTACAGTATCTCTCATTAATGAGAGTACAGATGTGTCGACATCCTTGGGATTTTTTATTATGATTAAACTAACTATAGCCATCTCTTTGATAA